CCAGATCTTTCGCGAGATCTTCCGGCAGATCTTCCGCCAGATCTTCCGCGAGATCTTCCGGCAGATCTTCCGCCAGATCATCCTCCAGAGTTATATCCCACATTTTCCGCCGGATCTTCCGCCAGATCGTCGGCCAGTTTCATCTTCCAGATATTCCGCCAGATCATCCGCCAGATCTTCCGCAAGATCTTCCGCCAGATCTGCCGCCAGATCTTCCGGCAGATCTTCCGCTAGCCGCTAGATGATCCGCGAGATTTTCCGCCAGATTTTCCGCCTGATTTTCTTCCAGATACTCCGCGAGATCTTCCGCCCGATCTTCCGCTATATCTTCCTGCAGATTGATCTTCTAAATCTTTTGCGAGATCTTCCGCCAGATCTTCCGCCTGATCTTCCGCCAGATTTTCCGCCAGATCTTCCTCAAGATCTTCCGCCAGATCTTCCTCCTGCTGTTCCAGGGTGTTCCTTGTTTTGTTTCATGCCGCGTCGCGGGTCCGCTTCTTGTTTTTGTTTGTAAGTCCTAGCTTTGTTGTCTGCCTTGCTTCGGGGCTGCAATCTTTACGGGACAACTTAGAATTTACAATATTCTTTTTTTGACAATTCCTTGTTGTTTTAAACCTCCCTGTTTACAGATACGAATATTTACAAGCGTGTCTAGAATACACATGCAGTTATACATACAGTTCTCTAAGGACTGACGATGGGGATGGGCCGGGGGAGGAATGGAAACAAGCCGGAGGAGGAGGAGGAGCGGTGGGGAGCAGTTGGTGGAGGAAGAGCCGAGTCTGGCCAGGTCGAAGGAGTCCGCGGGCCCCGCCCGCTCCCACATCTTCCCACAGCCCTGGGAGGAATGGTGGCGCAGCTGGATACCTCGATTTGAAACGAGTTCCCACTCCGCGAGCGGAAGGCGCTCGCGGGCGGTCCCGCTGCCTACGACTTGGCAAAGGGGAAGCCTACGCGGGCCGCGCAGGGGGCTGGAGTAGCGGCAAATGTCCGTCGCCCCTAAATCGCGCAGCGAGTGGGTCGGCAGGGGAATTAGGAAAGCATGCGCTTCTGAATGTCTTTCGCTCTCCTGGCCTTGGGGTCGTTTTTTGTTCGCCCGTCGCGAACAAGACGTCGCAAGAAGCGGGCTCACCTCACCCCTTTCACGAAGCGCAAGCGCCTCATCATGATCCAGGAAGTGCACGGGTCCGAGGCTCTGCTCAGGGCATTTGGTGGACCCCCAACCGCACCCGCACAATATTTCGCTTTCCGAGCTCACGAACACCATTGGCGCGCCCCAACTGGCAACGGGTGGAGTTGCTACCCTCGACCCTTGGTATATGCCGATGCAGCTCGACTAAAGTCAGCCTTGCCAGCGACCGCAAATGTTCGTCCGAGTCGGCCGTGGACGACCGTTTGATGCTCGTCGCGATCACGCATGCCGTCTCTCGAAACACCATTATCACCGTGAGCATCCACAACCACACCACCGACGCCGTGGCCAGGGCCAAGGTCACGCGTGCATGGCGTCCACAGCGCACATGGGCCGAGACGAAGTGCCAGCATTGCGTGTTTATCTCGGTTGGCGACTTCAACACAGGCTGCCGCCCGCACACCAGCTTCATGCAGCCGCAGCCACACCACGCCCGCCTCATCCTGCACAGCAGCTACCCCCAGCAGCAGCATTTTCTGGAAACCTTCTTCGGCTCGATGCTGGAGATCGAGGCGGACCTGCCCGGCCCTGCCCACCCTCTTCAACAAAGCCGACCACACGGCTTCTGACATAGACCGCATCTTCTTCAGTTTGCCCTCGCACGCCATGTAGGAGTTTGCCGCCAATTCCACTATCGCGCACGACGCAGCCATCCTATCGGGCAGACGCGTTAGCCACCAAGTGATCATCTCTCTCTCTCTCTCTTCCTCGGCATCAAGCTGAAGACACTGGCCCACGAGCATGCGGTCTCGCCTGCCATCTTCCGCGGCCCCAACTGCGCCAAGTATGTGCAGCAACGCATCGACGCCACGCAGTCCAAACGCGTCCCGATCGACCCATGGTGGAGATCCCATGCGTATCAAGTGGTGCAAGCTGCTCACATCGTTCGAGACGACCGGGTACGACGCCCCACCAGCGACACCAAGAAGTTCGGCTCCTTGGACGGGGCTGCGCGTTCACCGCTGGCCCGATCTCTCGTATGGCGCCGAAACAAACATTTTGCACGCCGACTTCAAGCCACTGCCGAGCTGGGGGGCCCAGTGCATCGTCATCTACAACGGCTCCATCGCGCTCTCCGACGACACGATGTACAGTCATCGGCCTGACCTAAGGAACGATAAATAAGGAACGAAGCCCCTTTTTTACCAAGGAGTAGCGCATAAGGAACGATACATTATAGATAACACATAAGGAACTCTAAATAACGCATGTAAAACCTAAGGAACGACCGAGCCCCTTTTGAAAAGTAAGTGTTCCTTATTCAACCCGCTCACTGTACACCAACGCCTCGTCTTCCCCGCACCGCGACGTCGAGGCCAGCGCCCTGCGGGCCAATGAGGAGCCTTCTCGCCCTATAGGCACTGCGCCAGGCCCTCCCTTAGGTCATCCGATCGGAAGGCCCTACTGTGGGCCCCATGGAAGCGCCGTCTCGTCCTCCAAGGTACTCCAGATTTTGTAATAAAGGGAGGGGGGTCTCATTTCGGGGGGGCTCTTTTCCAAGCTATCTTGGAGGGCCTGGGGGGTCTGAGGACGATGTTTTGGAGGGTTCTCCCACGGGGGAGGTCTGAAATGGCTTGTCTTGGAGGGTCCAGACCCCCTCCCTTTTATTACGAAATCTGGAGTATCGAAGTCAAAGGCCCCGCGGCCCCCCCGAGATAGCCAGAGAGAGTCGATCAATGGTGGATGCCCTCCGCGGCCGCTGGCGGCCCGCTTCCTTGAAGAGGCAACTCGACGCATCCAAGGTGCAACCGTACATCGAGAGTCGCATGCCTTGCGGGGAAGCCATCGACGCCGGCGATCCCAAGAAGTCGCAGATCAGTGTCTTCCTACGGCCCGTGACGCTGTCCCCCGCTGGTCCCTGGCCACTCCGTCCCGCGGGACCTGAATGGCCCGTTTTTGTTTTCATGCCAGAGGGTGGCAACCTCGTTGGCGAGCTCACCACTGACCGAGCCCCTAAAGATACGCGCCAGCTCGCCCTCAAGAACACCGACATCAACGCCATCGCTGGAGCAGCGAACCACTCCCTGAAGACCGCTGTCTGCCCCGTCATTCGGAGCCTCTTCTGGTCCCTTATGACCCTCCTGCAATACATCCTGCGGTTTGAGCCCCGCCGCTGCGTACCCGCTTGCCGCTGAGTCCGACCTTTCTATGCGCCGGACGGACGGTGCTGCGAGTCACGTTTACACTTGCTATTCCGAACAAATGAGGAAAACAGTTGCCCCGGCCGCTGGCTCTATTTTCGGATGCAACTGTTGGGAGGTCACGCTCTGTCTTGGCCCTGGTCCGAACTTCGGCTGAATCTGGTGAAATCCCGCTCAATCCGGCGCAGTCCCGTTTCAATCCCGCTTCATCCGCGGTCTCATCCGGCGCACCAGCCCCCCAATGGAGCTTGATCCTCCTTAGTCTTTCCGACAGAGACCTCCCCGTAGTTGCCTCCTAATATATTGCGCCGGCGTGCAGCGCAGCACGGGCTCAGCCACGGCGTCAGCTGCGTCTCTCACCGACGCCTTGCTGCAGGCCCGAGGCTCCGATCACGCGCACCAGCGGCGGCTCGAGCGCCCTCTGTGAAGGTCTCGGCTCTCCCCCAGATTGCTGGGCCTCCTCCACCCCCCTCCTCCTCCTCCTCCTCCTCCTCCTCCTTCTCCTCCTTCTCCTCCTCCTCCTCCTCCTCCTCCTGCGCCCGCGCCCCTGGGAATGCACTTCCCTTCCCCACGCTGCGCCATTCTGCGCGGCGGCCTTCGGTGCAGGTTCCGTCCACGTTGCCTCGGCCTTGGTCGGGGGGGGATCGCCGCAGTGCGTAGTTTGCAGTGGCCAGTGAGGCAGCGGTGACCTTCAAGTTTCGGCTGCCCGCGTGTGCGGGGGCATCTGCGCAGTTTTTAGAAGCAGATGCTGCTTTAAGCGGTCGTCGGCCTCCCGTCGGCCTCCCCCCTTCCCTCCAGCCTCCCCAGTTCCTCCCGTCCCCCTGCCCTCGAAGGGTCGGTGGTGCGACGACGTCCTCCTGGGGGAGGATCGGGAGCGCAACCCCCTCAGCGGGGGTCCAGTCGGCGGAGGAGGGGGGCGAAGCACGAGCGTGGCCGAGTGGCAAGGATGTACAGGTTGCCCGCAAGCTGTTAGAAATTGGTCTGTGGTCGTAGCAAATACGCGCACCAATTGCGTTATAGATCGCAGGTTTTAGCCTACCTGTTTGCTTGTTGTCGTGTAAAACACACGTCGTGTGCTGAGATGTCCAGTTCACGTGTAAACGATTATGTCTATGCACGTGCTTATATGTATAAGCACATATGTCGATACACATCTATGTGAACATGTGATTCGCATGTTTGCGTTTCCGTGGTGATTGTTCCCAGGCTTGAATGGGGTCTTCTTTTCCCATCCAAGGTGCCCCAGAGGTCTCGGCCCCTTCCCCGGGCCCATCCGAAATAGTTTCCTGATGGCGTCGAGGGCCGAAATCGGCCCTGGAGGCCGACATGCGAGGAAAGTGCCGTCCATGAATTTATACCACTCCGCTGGAGGCTTCGCTTCTTCAGGGGCAATCCCAGGGGGGGGATGGCGCCGTATTGCCGAGCTCAGCTCGATGCTCCCCTTCCAGCGGATGTCAGAAACGCTGGCCTTCTGCCCCCCGTGTTCGACACGTCGGCTTTCGGCCTAAACACGGGAGGGGAGGGAAGCCGGCAGCCCCAAGCAGAGCCGAGGCACGGCCGCGCAGCACAGCACCAGCACCGAACACAGCCCAAGCGAGACGTCCCCGGACGGAACCGCGGCCGGCACCTGCCGCGGCGCCGCACGCCGCCGGGCCGCCTGCTCCGAGGCCGTGGCCTTCGCGCTGGAGAGGGGCAGCGTCGAGGCCGGCCGCCCCCCGGGGAGAGCCCTGCCGCACTGCGAGGCCGCCATCCTGCAAGTTCTGGCCAGTGTTTGGGCCTGGGCAGCGCTTTTGTTTTTGACCGTCTGGGCCTAAAACGCGCGTGGTGCCCGGCGCTAGAAAATAGCACTCCAGACTTGTAGATCTATCTGGACTGCCTCAAACCTCGACAGGAATCAGGACGTCGACGTCCTGGTGCTATTTTCCCGGAAAGGGCGTAGGCCCAGGGTTCTCTTTTAGCTGTTTACCCCCCGGATTTGACGGGAAGAGGGCCGGCGGATTTCTTTTGCGATAAATGACGAGTGGGAAGAGGGCCGGCGAATTAAAATGTCAGGATGTCTCGAGCGAAACGCTTGTGTTTCAGAATTTGTTCAGGATGTCTCGAGCGAAACGCTTGTTTTGTGTTATGGATTGTCCTCTCCTGGGGACTAGAATTTAGAGGATCTCTCAAGTGAAATGCTTGTTTTCACGAGCCCAGATCTTGAGGATGTCTCGAGCGAGACGCTTGGTTTCACGCCTCCAGGTTGCCCAGGCAGAGGTCTAGCGCCAGGATTTGTTGAGGATGTCTCGAGCGAGACGCTTGCTTTCACGCGTCCTCGTCGACTAGGCGGATGTCTAGCATGAGGATGTGTTGAGAAACTCTCGATCGAGATGCTTGTTTGCACGTGTCCAGGTTGCCCAGGCGGATGCCTAGCATGAGGATGTGTTGAGAATGTCTCGAGAGATACGCTTGTTTTCACGTGTCCAGGTCGAGACGCTTGCCTTCACGTGTACAGGTCGCACAGGCGGATGTCTAGAATGAGGAGGTGTTGAAACCGTCTCGAGCGAAACGCTTGTTTTCACGTGCCCCAGGCGGACGTCTCACATGAAGATGTTTTTTTGGATGTCTCGAGCGAATCGCTTGTTTTCACGCGTCCAGTTCGCCCAGGCGGATGTCTAGCATGAACATGTGTTGAGGATGTGTTGAGCAACACGCTTGTTTTCACGTGCCCAGGTCGCTCAGGCGGATGTCTAGCATGCGGATTTTGACAGGAAGTCTCGAGCGAAACGCTTGTCCCCAGCACGTTCCGTAGCGCGTCCCCTTGGCACGTCCCGCGGTGCGACCCCATGGCACGTCCCCTGGCACGTCGCTTGGTGCGTCCCTTGAGACGTTCCGCGGCGCGTCCTCCTGGCAGGTCCCCCTGTCAATTGGCGCTGGGGCAGCTACTATGTGTTCAGGCAGCTCGAGCTTAAGATCCAGATCAGTTCGGTCAGGACTCGGATGCAAAGGAGGACTCGATCCACGTGGCTATAGAGCACACTCGCGGCATGGCACATCGCAATTCATCACGGCGAAGCACAGCAGAGCCCTCGGCAGGGGACATCAAGATCGATACACTCAGCATTGCGACCTGGCACGTTCCTTGGCACGTTCCGTGGGGCGTCCCTTGGCGAGTTCCCCTGGCACGTCGCGTGGCGCGTCCCCTGGCACATCCCGTGGCACATCCGTTGGCACGTTCCGTAGCGCGTCCCCTTGGCACGTCCCGCGGTGCGACCCCATGGCACGTCCCCTGGCACGTCGCCTGGCGCGTCCCTTGGGACGTTCCGCGGCGCGTCCTCCTAGCAGGTCCCCCTGTCAATTGGCGCTGGGGCAGCTACTATGTGTTCAGGCAGCTAGAGCTTAAGATCCAGATCAGTTCGGTCAGGACTCGAATGCAAAGAAGGACTCGATCCACGTGGCTATAGAGCACACTCGCGGCATGGCACATCGCAATTCATCACGGCGAAGCACAGCACAGCCCTCGGCAGGGGACATCAAGATCGATACACTCAGCATTGCGACCTGGCACGTTCCTTGGCACGTTCCGTGGGGCGTCCCTTGGCGAGTTCCCCTGGCACGTCGCGTGGCGCGTCCCCTGGCACATCCCGTGGCACATCCGTTGGCACGTTCCGTAGCGCGTCCCCTTGGCACGTCCCGCGGTGCGACCCCATGGCACGTCCCCTGGCACGTCGCCTGGCGCGTCCCTTGGGACGTTCCGCGGCGCGTCCTCCTAGCAGGTCCCCCTGTCAATTGGCGCTGGGGCAGCTACTATGTGTTCAGGCAGCTCGAGCTTAAGATCCAGATCAGTTCGGTCAGGACTCGGATGCAAAGGAGGACTCGATCAACGACGCTATAGAGCACACTCGCGGCATGGCACATCGCAATTCATCACGGCGCAGGACAGCAGAGCCCTCGGCAGGGGACATCAAGATCGATACACTCAGCATTGCATTTGCCCGTCACCCAATCAAGTGTCTTTGAAAACGCTGCCATGCGTTACATTTCTATATTCCTTTCCGGGTTCGTGGTTGGATCATGTTTTAGCCCTCCTGGAAGGTCAGGGCCCTCGCCCCCCCGTAGCGTCACGCTGCCCCCCTCGGTGCGTCCCTGGCGCGGCCGCAGTGCGTCCGCACCACAGGCGTGGGTGGGGGGCGCTATACGTTCTGCCCCCCTCCCGCCCCCCCCCCTCCCCCCCCCATAACGCCCGTTATTAGTCAGCGAGCGAAGAACGGTACAAGTGGCACGCGTGCCCTGGCTCTTGCACAAAGGAGCTGCGAAGGACAGGAGGCCCTCGCCTCCTTCCTCCAGGAGGGGTTTAGGAGGATCCAGGAAGAAAGCGGAGGAGGAGGACGACGACGACGACGACGATTTCTGGTGCCTGGCCTGGTTTTGTTTCTGGGCCTTGGCCAAGAGTGCCTCCGTGGCCCAGGGGGGCTACCCTGGGAAGCGTGGACAGGGGGGGGGGGAGGGGGGCGAACGACACGACGAACGACGAAAATAAAGGGTTCCGTGGCCCAGGGGGGCTACCCTGGGAAGCGTGGACAGGGGGGGGGGCGAGGGGTACCCTGGGAAGCGTGGACTGGGGGGGGGGGCGAGGGGGACGGGGGGGGCGAGGGGGACGAACGACACGACGAACGACGAAAATAAAGGGTTCCGTGGCCCAGGGGGGCTACCCTGGGAAGCGTGGACAGGGGGGAGGGGGGCGAGGGGGACGAACGACACGACGAACGACGAAAACAAGTGGCACGCGTGCCCTGGCTCTTGCACAAAGGTGTCCGAGGCTCAGGGGCGCTGCCCTGGGAAGCCTTGGCGAGGGGGGGGGGGGCGAGGGAGAAAATAAAGGGTTCCGTGGCCCAGGGGGGCTGCCCTGGGAAGCCTGGACGGGCTGCCCGGATGGAGGCAGGGGGGGGTGCGGGCCAGGGCCAGGGGGGCGACCAGGGCCAGGGGGACGAACGACACGAACGACGAACGACACGAAAATAAAGGGTTCCGTGGCCTAGGGGGGCTGCCCTGGGAAGCCTGGACGGGCTGCCCTGGGATGCCTGGACGCGGGGCAGGGGGGGGTGCGGGCCAGGGCCAGGGGGCGACCAGGGCCAGGGGGACGAACGACACGAACGACGAACGACACGAAAATAAAGGGTTCCGTGGCCCAGGGGGGCTGCCCTGGGAAGCCTGGACGGGCTGCCCTGGGATGCCTGGACGCGGGGCAGGGGGGGGTGAGGGCCAGGGCCAGGGGGCGACCAGGGCCAGGGGGACGAACGACACGAACGACGAACGACACGAAAATAAAAATGTCCGAGCTCTAGAGCACAGCTGTGCAAGAGAATAAAGGGTTCCGTGGCCCAGGGGGGCTGCCCTGGGAAGCCTGGACGGACTGCCCTGGGATGCCTGGACGGGGGGCAGGGGGGGGTGAGGGCCAGGGCCAGGGGACGACCAGGGCCAGGGGGACGAACGACACGAACGACGAACGACACGAAAATAAAGGGTTCCGTGGCCCAGGGGGGCTGCTCTGGGAAGCCTGGACGGGCTGCCCTGGGATGCCTGGACGGGGCAGGGGGGGGTGAGGGCCAGGGCCAGGCAGGGCCAGACCAGGGCCAGGGGGGCGAACGACACGAACGACGAACGACACGAAAATAAAGGGTTCCGTGGCCCAGGGGGGCTGCCCTGGGAAGCCTGGACGGACTGCCCTGGGATGCCTGGACGGGGGGCAGGGGGGGGTGAGGGCCAGGGCCAGGGGACGACCAGGGCCAGGGGGACGAACGACACGAACGACGAACGACACGAAAATAAAGGGTTCCGTGGCCCAGGGGGGCTGCTCTGGGAAGCCTGGACGGGCTGCCCTGGGATGCCTGGACGGGGGGCAGGGGGGGGTGAGGGCCAGGGCCAGGGGGACGAGCAGGACACGAAAGTGTTCCGTGGCCCAGGGAGGGGGGTGAGGGCCAGAGCCAGGGGACGACCAGGACACGAAAATAAAGATGTCCGAGCTCTAGAGCACAGCTGTGCAAGATAATAAAGATGTCCGAGCTCTAGAGCACAGCTGTGCAAGAGAATAAAGGGTTCCGTGGCCCAGGGGGGCTACCCTGGGAAGCGTGGACAGGGGGGGGGCGAGGGGGACGAACGACACGACGAACGACGAAAATAAAGATGTCCGAGCTCTAGAGCACAGCTGTGCAAGATAATAAAATAAACTGTTTCGCTGTCGTGGGCGCCTGTCCCAGGGCGGCTGGAAAGTTTATACCCCTACGGTGCCACCGTAAGGGTATAAACTTTCCAGCCGCCCTGGGACAGGCGCCCCCGACAGCGAAACAGTTTATCTTATGCCGTGCTTCGCCCGTGAAATTTCGGGGAGCAAAGAGTGGCATAAACATAAAAGCTCAGCGGTCCGCGCGGATTTCTCGGATCGGCGCTGGATCCCCCCTCCCTGGCGCGCGGGGCGCGCCGGGGGCGGCGCCCCGAGGCGCCGCCAGGGGGGGCCCGGCGCGAACCCGAGGATCCCGCGCGGACCTCCGAGTGTTTATGTGAATGCCACGTTTTGTGTTCCCCTAGTTATTCAAAGGATTGCAAACAAAAAAAATGGCTTTTTTTCGTGCAAAAAAACAGTTTTTTTTGTTGTTGCAATCCTTCGTTCAAGGTTTTTTTTTGCAATCCAGGGTTTTTTTTGCAATCCAGGGTTTTTTTTTGCAATCCACGCGCAGAGGGGGGTGAGGGGAGGGGGGAGGGCTTCTTGGACGCACCCCTGCTTCTCAGAGGGCGCGGGCCGTATCTGCAGACGTGAGGCCGGCGCCTTCTGAGAGGCAGCCTCCCTCTGAGAAGCCCTTCCCGGTCGGCATCCCCCCAACATACTTCTACTACGTGTTCGTCGCCCCCCCAGGGGCGACGCGCGCACCGAGAAATCTTGTAGTATATGCGTCGTGGCGGGCGCTTTCTGGCCACACCGCTCGAGAAACGATATACTACAAGATGGGTATACTATATGTTCGGATCGGACGCGCGCCTCCAAGGCGGACGTATAGTATTAGGAATTCCCCCCTCCCCCCACCCCCGTGTGCGCGCCGCCAAGTTATGGCCGCGAACAAGCAGTGCGTTCCTGGAGGGGGCCCTGGCGTCCTGGTGCTGCGTCTCGGCTCCTGCCCGGCGTCGGGCCCCCCATGGGGCACCCACGGATACAGCGATCCGGCTCGAGACAAATGGCGCGGGGCGATCTGTAGCGGGGCGATCTGTAGGGGCGATCCGTAGGGGGGGGATCTGTAGGGGCGATCCGTAGGGAGGGAGACATCTGGCGCGGGGCGATCTGTAGGGGCGATCCGGCTCGAGACAAATGGCGCGGGGCGATCTGTAGGGCGATCCGGCTCGAGACAAATGGCGCGGAGCTCCAGGGGTGCACGCCGGTCGTTGAAGGTGGGTTTTTTTTTACATGCCCAGCTCCTAATCTACTTTAGGCGCCTGCCTACTTCAAGAGTCGAGGGGCTTTCCTTCTCTCCTCCTCTTCGGGGGGCGCTCCAGGGGTACACTCGGGCCGAACGAAAGGGGGGGATTGGGAAAGGGGGGAGTACGAAATCTGCTGCATGCAGCTGGTCTCGGCCCCGCCGCGGGGCCCATTCCTCGATACATGGGCGCCTCCTGGCGCCGGGAGGCGCCGGGAAAATCAGCTACGTGAGCTGATTCTCCCCCCCCCCCCCTTTTGCTATCCCCCCCTTTCGCCCGGCCCGATACACGCCAGTCGTTGGAAGTAAGTATTTCTGGATGCCCAGCTCCTAATCTACTTCAGGCGCCTTCCTACTTCAAGAGTCGAGCGGTGTTCCTTCTTTCCTCCTCTTCGGGGGGCGGGGGGCAGCCCAATCTACTTCCAAGGCCTTCCTGCTTCATGCTTTTACCTACTTCTTCCGACCGGCGTGTATCTTTTGCGATGTTGTCTGTTGTTCGCCACGTCAGATCTGAGAGGTGGTGGTGGTAAGTTCGGATGCAGCTCCTGGGAGGTCATGTTCTGACTTTGCCCTGGTCCGAAGTCCGGCTTGATCCCGCGGAATCCTGCGGAATCCGATTTCACTCCGCCTGATCCGAAGCCCCACTCTCGGGCCGGACGAAAGGGGGGGATTGGGAAAGGGGGGGGTACGAAAATTGCTGCATGCAGCTGGTTTCGGCCTCACCGAGGGGCCCATTCCTCGATACATAGCCGCCTCCGGCGCCGGGAGCTGATTCTCAACACCCCCCTTTGCTATCCCCCCCTTTCGCCCGACCCGACACTCTGGCGCAACTGCCCCGCAATGGGGCCTAATCCTCCTCTCTCATCCTTCCGACGAAGACCTCCCAGCGGTTGTTTCCTGAGGTAAGGCTGCGGGCTGCGCAGAGACGGCCTCCCCAGGGTGGCCTCCTTGGCATGGCGCCCGCGGGCTCCCCGAGCGGCCCCGGAGCTGGCCCGGCTCGTCTTCTGCGCTGCCTCGGGCTCCTGCGAGGCCCTCTCGCCTCCACGGGCGGACGCGCCACGAGGTTCTCGCCGGAGCGCACCCCGGGAGAGGTCCGTGGATCATGAGCGGCGAGCGTGTCCATATCGGGGATCGTGATCACACCCTCGCGGTTTGGATTCCAGGGCGCGACCCCGTGGATACGCGGTCGCATGGATACGTTCCGCGCGGGGCATCCAGCAAATAACTGCCCGTATCCATGGGATCGCGGCACAGGGGCCCAGCCCGCGAGGCCGTGGATATGGAGATGTTCCACTCCCACAAGTGGAGGCGCGGCGTCGGTTTCCCCCTGCTCCGCCGCCCAAGGGGCCTCGCGTTGGCCTCCAGGGACCCGCCCTTCGGGTGCCGCGGCAGAACATGCGCGACGGCGCGCGGTCGTGGGCCTCGGGGGAGGGCGGGGGGAAGGGTGAGATTTAGGGCTAGGTTTATGTCGGGCGTGTCCCCCATACAGGAGGATTTTCGACGAAAGTAGAATACCCCCCCAAAGAAAACAAAAACGTAAAAAACAAGATTCAAAAAGTGTTCATGTTTGAGTAGTTTAAATTATTTTGGGGGTATTGTTTATGTTCTTCGAAAATCCCCCTGTAGGAGGACAGGCCCGACTGAAGGCTAGGTGGCGGCAGGATTGATTCTTAGATCTTTGAGCTCATCCTCCTCTGGCGAAGGGAGACAGGGGCGAGGTGAGTAAGAGAACAAGAGCTGGAGGTTGAGGCTCGTACGTGTTGAAAGGAATTGGGTCGAGAAGATCTGCCTGGGCCCTGGCTTCTCTAGGAAAGCCAAGAGCGTACACGTGGAAGCATTCATGAACAAGTCACGTAGAAGCAACCGCAATAGTTACAGACAAACTCAGGTAGACAGGAGGACGTGCTGGGACAACGATTTCTTTGAGGGTGGCAGGGACGAGTACATGCACACCAACACATACAAACAACCGTTGTGAGAGTTAAGGCTACAGAAGTTCGGATCTTCGGGCCTCTTCCAGGCTCAATCCCGCAGAACTGCCCATGAGCCCTTGCCCTTGCATTGTTGCGAAGCTCATGTAAAACAAATGAGAATCATCGGCGTTGGGCCACGATCTCTGTGAGCGTACCATCATCTTGATCAAGGTCAGGAGGCCGACTGGTCAGTCACTGTCTTTGGGTGCGCAGTTGAAGTGGAGTTCCGAGGTGCGGATTGTTGGTGCGTTGTTGCGTTCAGTTGTTGCGTTGTTGTCCTCGTCGTCCTTGCCACTTCGCGACCAGCCCGCGACCCACCCGCGACCCACACCGCGACCAACCCACGACCACCCTGCGACCCACCCGCGACCCAGGGAAGTATCAGGGTAGTATCAGGCGGGAAGTACCAGGCGGGAACCGTTGTTGTCGTAACGGCCAGGGGCACAGTGTGATGACCCCTACAGTTTCCTTTTGTGTGTAGGAAAGGGAGAGCGAGGCCTGGTAATAACATTTGAATTGAAAAAAACACAGTGGTCACCCGGCAGGGGGGACCAATTGCAATTATGCTTTAGAAGCGAAAATTGATTATAAGAAAAAGGGCAATAACAACATGAACACCAACAACATCAATACTAACAACAACAATGCCAATAACAACGCAACCATCAACATCAACAACAACACTCAGTTTCAGACTGTTCGCTCCGATCTGTCCGCGTGCCATTCAATACGTATATCCCACACCCTCGGTACCCGGCCTCTTTGTCTTCGATAGTACCCTTTTGGGGGTCTATCCCCCTGACCTGCTACGCGCATGTAGTGCAGCCCCTGAAGCAGGGGAAGAGAGGACGGATGGACGAGGGAGGGTGAAGGATTGACCACGAGAGAGATTAACAGGAGAGGGGGCCATGAGCGGAAAACACGTGGCAATGCTGGACGGGCAGACCGGGCGGGCAGACCCTAGCAGGCGTGTGTGGAAGGCCTGCCCAGGCGGCCAGGTCGAGCAGGCGGGCTGCTGAAGCGTGAGTGCCGCATGAATCGCGAGGAAGTCTCAAGCGATAGCGCGATTCCCAAGTAAACCGCGAAACAAGCCAACGCGACAACGGGATTACTGAGTGCCGAGGGCGCGGCGCCTGAATACATTGAGAGGAAGTCTCACGCGAGAGCGCGATTCCTGCTGAACTTCTCAGGACGTCTCGCGCGAGAGCGTGCTCTTGGAATGCACGCGGAGGGCGTGCTAGGCGGGAAGCGTTGTTGTTGTAGGGGGGGGGGGCCAACAAACCCGTTAGCGCAGGAAGGCTTCCCCCGATAAAAGACAGGGTGCGAGCCCCGATGGGGGCAGTTGACTTACAGAAGACAACGTGCACCAATGAGGGGCATCACCACTTTGTTTTAGGGTGAGAGCGCAACAGCAACAACAGCAGCAGCAGCGACAACAACAGCACCGACAGCCACAACAACGACAACAGCAGCAACAACACACAAGCAGGTCCCGCGCCGCGGAATGCCACTCCGGACATGCACCAAGGGACGGTGCAAGGCCGTTCCGACCAGGGGATGTAAAACAGGGCTAGGATCGGGATAAATCGCTCCAGAGCGTTCCGGAGCGCTCTCAGAGCGTTCCGGAACGCCAATACATCCTCCAAACCCGCCGATTCTCAGAGATTTCGAGTTGTCCCGATCCGATTTTGTCCCGATCTTCGCGTCGTTTTAGGATGTGTGTGTGTGTGTGTGCAGTGCCAGACGCGAACAGAATCCGCCCGAGGGCCCGCAGACCCCGCGGCGGCGCCTCCCTCCGCCTCGCAGTCCTCTCGCCGCCGCCGCCCCGCCCCCGCCCGGAGACTCGGCCAGCCGCGGCCTGCGGGCCTGCCTGTGGCCTTTTTTGGGGGGCCGGCGCGCGCGGGGCCCCCCCCTCGGCGCTCTCGGCAGCGGGCCCCCCCGTCGCCCCCGCGGCACTGCGCGCGCCCTGCTCGCGCCCCGCCCTCCCCCGCGCGGCGCCCGATCGTCCGACGACCGGCAGCGAGCGACGCCCGACCGACGACCGGCGAGGGAGCCCCATGAGATCCTGGCGGAGCCCATGGTGTCTCGAGGCTTCGTCCCCGTCCTCCCCCCCCTCTTGCCTCGGGGCCCGCTCTTCTCTCTCCCCCATTCCCTCCCTCTTCCTGCCCCCCTCGTTTCGCAGGGAACGCTGGCGGTGGAGCGGAGCAGCTTCGCCGCAGCGCCCGAGCGGGCCCTAGCCCGGCCGCGACGCCTTGAGGCCAGGGACAGCGGAGGTGGGAGCGGAGATTGATGGCAGAGGATGGGGTTCAAGGATGGACGGGGGCTTCTTTGCGTGTGTGTGCGTGTGTGTCGTTCTTTTTGGCCTTTTCCCTTCGCTCTGACTCAGAGAAGGAACAGGTACCCAAACTTCTGCCCTCCCTCGTTTTCCCCTTGTCGGGCCTCCTGGGAGGTCCTCGTCGACACTTCTGATTCGCCTCGAAATCCTAGCTAGAACGCACCCTGCGAGAGGTCTGGGGAGTAGCGGTATTGATACCGTTGGGTTGCCCCTTGACGGATATTTCCCGTCTCCCAACGTTCTTGTGTTGGGACTCTCCGCCCAACGCAGCGTCCACGCAGCTAGTTACCCAGGGTTCTTCTGCGGTATTGTCGCACTTCTCCGCTCGCACTGTACACTGCCAGTGATCCTAACCAGACTGGGTCTCCGCGCCGCAGTGGTCCATCTGGGGAAAAAGGTGTGCCTAACGTGACCTGTCATTGCCGAACCCGGTGACACCCTTCATTCAGAGATCCGACTCCGAACTAAACCTCTGGGTCGGTTTTGTAGATCGCTACATCGATCAGGGCGACTACACTACACATCGGGCCGAGGTGTTTGTCAAGGAGTGGCATGCCCCTTCCGAGCCCCCCCCCGCTCTGCGATGCAGACGTGGCTCATAATTGTCAATTTAGCGACAGAGAGTTGTACAGTTGTGAAAAAAATGGGCAGCCATCTTCTTTTTGTTTACAGTCAACCCGCATAGCAAGGATAGGCAACCGTCCTAAGGGTACCCTCGCATCCTTGCTCCTTCGGCCCATCCTTGGCGACCTTCGCGGGCCAGCCTCGTTAGAAACGTTCACGTGGGCCTCCAAGGCCCTTGCATCCCTGCCGCGCATCCTCATGATACGGGCTGACTGTAGGGTTGTGGATGCCACGACCATGGACACCCCAACAGGCCCATCATCGAATGAAACATGTGTTTAAACGGTCGGAGCAATGCCCTGGAAATGCTTAAAACGCTTGCTTTTAGGCATCTGGCAATTATTTAATCGCTTCGCTCATTCCGCCGGCCCACATTGTCGCACCGTTGTGGGCTAGCCGAGTTTGGGGGCCTCTTGGGGGCCGTTTTTGGGCCTCTTGGGGCCTCTTTTGGGCCTCTTGGGCGCCTCTTGGGGCGTCTTGGGGGCCTCTTGGGGGCCTCTTGGGGCCTTTTTGGGGCCTCCTGGGCGCCTTCTGGGGCGGAGGGCTCGATTTTTCAGTTCTCGGTTCCCCTCTTGAGCCCCTCTTGGGCCCGTCTTGGGGCCTCTTGGTCCGTCTTGGGCGGCACTTGGGCCGTCTTGGGGGCCCTCCTGGGCCGTTCCGGGGCCGTCTTGGGAGCCTCGTGGGCCGTCTTGGAGCGGTCTTGGGGGCCTCTTGGGCCGTCTTGGAGCGTCCGGAAGCCGAAAAAGCCAGAACGCAAAAAACATAGAAAAAAACAATGAAAATCAACGATTTTGGCCTCTTGGGGCCCTCTTCGGAGGCCTCTTGGAAGGCCCTTGGGGCGTCTTGGAGGCCTCTTGGGCTGTCTTGGGGCCCTGTTGGGCGTCTTCGGGCGATCTTTGGCCGTCTCGGGGCCCTCTTGGACCGTCTTGGAGGCTTCTTGGGGACCTCTTGGCCCGTCCTGGGGCCCTGTAACAGGGCTCCGGCATCTCTGGCCCGACCTTGCCGGGACCTTGCCGGGGACTTGCCGGGACCTTGCCGGGGACTTGCCGGGACCTTGCCGGGGACTTGCCGGGACCTTGCCGGGGTACTTTTCGTCCGGGGACCCCCAGGGGCCGCCCCGCGCGCGCGAACTAGAAATATTGTTAACCAGGTGCCGGAGATCTTAGCACGCCCTGGCCCGTTGGGCCGGCGAATTTTGCAGCACGCTTCCTCTCCACTGATCGTTTTTATAAAACAAAACATGGTTTAATCAGGTTTAACTCATGTTTTAGGCATCTGGCAATTATTTTTGCAGCATGCTTCCTCTCCACTTGATCGCCCTCCACAGCCGCAGGGGAGGCCGACTGCCGCGCCGCCCGCGCCTGCCTCCTGCTGCCTGCCCCCCCCTCCGCGCCCTCCCGCCTCCCCCGCCTCCTGCTGCTCGGCGGCCCGGGCCCTGCCTGTGTCGGGCCGCCCCGCGCGAGCGCGCGCGCCTGCCGAGTCAAAGTGTGGGCGGGCTTGGACGACGACGACGACGACGACGACGACGACGACGACGACGACGACGACGCCGTGTGCGTGTGTGTGTGTGTGTTTGTGTGTGTGTGTGCGTGCGTGCGTGTGTGTGTGTGTGTTTGTGTGTGTGTGTGTGTGTGTGTGTGTGCGCGGGCTCACGGGTTCGCCTCTCCTGCCTCGCGGCTTCTCTCCTCTGCCTCGCCCCGCCTGGCGCCCCTTTGCCTGCCTGCCGTATCGCTGCCGCCGCGTTTCTCCCCCCGTCTGGGCATTTCTGCCCACAGGGCTCCCACTAGTGTCTCCTGCCTGGCCCCCTCCGCACCGCCGTTGTGGCCCCCCCCCCCCTTGGCCTCCTCTCTGCCCGACTCACACTGCCGCACTGCCCCTCTCCTTCTCCTTGCTCGTCGTCGTCGTCGTCGTTGTCGTGGTCGTCGTCGTCGTGGTCTTCGGCGTGGTCGTCGTCGTCGTGGTCGTTCTGGTCGTCTTCGTCCTCCACCGCGGCTTCCCTTGCGATCGACCCCTCGCGAGTGATGCAGTCTATCTCCTGTGGGCAGATCCAGGCCCTCCACGCCGCTTGATCTGGGTCGGTCCGCGCGCGTCTCGCTTTCGCTCGACCTGCACTGCGCCCTCCGCAGCGCTCATTGCCGCGATGCTTGAACTAGTGTGTGTGTGTGTGTGTGTGTGCGCGCGAGTGTGCGTGTGGGTGTTTCCTTATGTGTGTGTGTGCGTGCGTGTATGTGTGTGTGTGTGGGTGTCTGTGTGAGTGTGTGTTTGTGCGTGCGCTCACCTTCCGGCTCCCCAGGGGGTCCTTGGCGGCGTCATTTCGCCTGGCGCCACTTCGCTCGACAAGGGTCCGGGCGTCTTCCCTGCCCCGACGGCGTGAACCCGAGTGCGTGTGTGTGTGTGTGTGTGTGGTCGTGTGTGTGTGTGTGTTGGTGTGTGTGTGTGTTGGTGGATGTGTGAGTTGGTGTGTGTGTGAGAGTGTGGGTGTGAGTGTGTGAGTGTGTGAGTGTGTGTGTGTGTGTGTGTGTGGGGGTGCGTGTGGTGCGTGTGTGGGTGTGGGTGTGTGAGTCGCGCGAGCGCCGCGGCCCTCGGCTTGCTCCGGCGCCGTCGGTGCACAGCGGCCCCCGGCGGCCGCTTTTCGGCCCCTCGCGGCGGCCGACCTCCTCGCGCGCGCGGCGGCGGCCTGCATCCCGCCGGGCCGCTGAGGCCGAAGCGCTGCCCTGCCTGCCGGCTGCCCCCGCCGGCGGCGCCGCGGCGGCGCCTTCCTCGCTGGTCGTGCCGAGGGATGGGCGGGGAGGGGCAGGGCAAGCAGACTGGGCGGTTCAGAAGAGTGGGCCTTGAGACTCTACCTCCCTCCCTCCCTCCCTCCCTCCTCCTCCTCCTCCTCCTCATTCTCCTCCTCCTCATTCTCCTCCTCTGCATCAGCATCAGCATCAGCATCAGCATCAGCATCAGCATCAGCATCAGCATCATCATCATCATCATCATCATCATCATCATCATCATCATCATCATCATCATTATCATTCTCATTCTCATTCTCATACTCATCATCATACTCATCATCATGCTCATCATCATCATCATCATAATCATCACCATCAGCATCAGCATCAGCATCAGCATCATCATTATCACTACCATCATCACATCATCATCATCATCATCATCATCATCATCATCATCATCATCATCATCATCATCATCATCATCATCAGCACCATCATGCCATCATCATCATCATCATCAGCAGCAGCAGCATCATCATCATCGTCATCATCATCTTCCCCCCTCTCCTTCTCCTCCTCCGCCTCCTCCTGGTTCCTCTCTTCCTACCCAACCTCCTGGGTGACATGTGATGTTCTGATTCGCGGTACGCCCGTGGACTTTGTTGCCGGGTGCCAGACTTGCTCCGCAGCCTGACGATGATGACCACAGAGCGCGTGCACAGCCCATCTCTCAGGAGGGGAACAAACACACAGACACAATTAATCGTCGACTCCCAGGAAAATATGGGAAAATATGGGAAGTGGGGGGGAAGACAAAAACCCAGAAAATATTGGAAAATATGGGGAATCCAGTTATTTGTGTGTACTTATTTGTGTGTCCCAGGGCCCCTTCAATCTCGTGGACCCACGTGACAAAACACCAAAGAATGGGGCCCTGCAAGGGAAGGGCACGCAGACGCGGCGGTTCCACGATGCGGCGGGCAGACTCGGCGGGAGGGGCAAGCAGACTCGGCAGACTGAGGTTATATACACCCTAGGCGATGCTTAAGAGAACTTAAGTTTTCGGCCAGAGTCTAGATTATTCTTATTGTTTCAATGGAAATCCTAACTTTTTATTAGAACTTGGGTTTTTTATTCAAATTCTGAGACTATGAATTTCTTAACCCATGATTTCTTAAGCATTTCGCAGGGTGTAGGAATCGAGCCGCAGGTGGAACCTTGATTAGTTGAGGCGATCGTCCTTCCTGCCCCACCCCTCCTGGTCGCATCACTGAACCGCCGACAGGCAGTTTCCTCACCATTTCGTCGTTTTCGTCGGGCCCCTTGGAGGGTCGGGACCCATTCCAGCAATCAGAGCTCGACGGGAGCTTCGAGACGGCATCCCCGATCAAAGTTCAGGCGTGCAGGCTCGAGAGCCGATTCGATAGAGAGTGGTAACGACACGAGCCGATACGAGTCGTCACGGGAGAGGGCCTCTCCAGAGAGGCGGTTCGGTGCTCAAGGGGGTGTCTGGTGTTCGGTTAGTTCTTAGTTACAGGCTGGGGAACCCAATTGTGGCCAAGATTCGCCGCGGCCAGAAAAAAGCCCCGTCGTTTCTTATTCTGCGTTCCTGGTGGTAGCACGATGATCGTAAATGCGGTGCGGAGGAATGAAAAGGATAAATGAGGAGGTGCTGGAGGAGGACAACGCGGGCGGGGGCGAGAATGAGGTCGAGAAAGGGCGAGTACGAGGAGGATTCTGAGCGCGATTATGATTTTATGTTGGCAAAATATGCAACGTCACAAACAAATCACCACCGAAGCCCTGGACCCCCTCGCTGAGCCGGATCGATATGTGAGGGTCCCGAGGCCCGAAGCTGGGCGGTTGCTGAAGAAAATCGCAGCGCCAGGATCGCAGGGACGGAGTGAGGAGGAGGAGAGGGATAAGGCGAGGATGAACGATTACGACGAGAGGCAGTCATAGGGGAACAAACAATGACATGAAAATAAGAACTCGGAGGTCCGCGCGGGTTTCTCGGATCGGCGCTGGACCCGCTCTCTGGCGCGCGGAGCGCGCCAGGGGCGGCACCGGAGGGGCCGCCAGGGAAGTCCAGCGCGGATCCGAGAAATCGGCGCGGACCTCCGAGCTCTTATGTTTCTGTCATATTCTTCGCTCCCTTGTAATTGCGACGAGAAGCAGTCAGGACGAGGACGACCAGGACCGTTGGTGCCTCCTCCTCCTCCCCCTCCTCCCCCTCCTCCCCCTCCTCCTCCTCCTCCCTCCCCTCCTCCTCCTCCTCCTCCTCCTCCTCCTCCTCCTCCTCCTCCCTCCTCCCTCCTCCTCCTCTCTCTCCTCCTCCTCCTCCTCTTCTTCCTCCTCCTTCTCACTCCTCCTCCTCCTTCTCCTCCTCCTCCTCATCCTCCTCCTCCTCCTCCTCCTCCCCCTCCCCGCCCCTCTCGAGGTCGTCGGGCCTCCCGCGCCGCTCCCCACGCGGCCCGGCGCCGCCGCTCGCGCCGGCGCGCCGGCGCCCCTGGGCGTGGGCACGGCGGCCGCGAGAAGGCGGCCGCGGGAAGGTCGTCTGTTGGCGATTCTCGTCATCCTCCATTAGTGGCAATGGTAAACGAACCCATCATGCTTGAGGGTGGGGCGGAGGGCACACCGCCCCGAGTCCTCGACGCCCTGCTCCAGGCAGCGGCCCCGCACGTGCTCCACCAGGGCGAGGCTGTGGCCCCCTTGGGCCCCCGACCTCCTCCCATGGAGGTTCGTTTACCATTGCCACTAACGCGGGATGGGCGAGAAGGCGGCCGCGGGAAGGTTTGAGTCGGGCGTGCCCCTCTACAGAGCCCCGAATCATCCGGGGTAACTCGGGTCAGGGCTAACTCAGGTTCGCTTTCCGGGTTGCAGAGCCCGAGTTGCCCCCGGCCCGAGTTGCCCCGGATAACTCGGGCGTCCAGAGCCCCGAATAAGCAGGGGTAACTCGGGTCAGGGCTAACTCGGGTTCGCTTTTCGGGATTCCGAACCCGAGTTGCCCCGGGCCCGAGTTACCCCGGATACCTCGGGCGTCCAGAGCCCCGAATCATCAGGGGTAACTCGGGTCAGGGCCAACTCGGGTTCGCTTTTCGGGATTCCGAACCCGAGTTGCCCCGGACCCGAGTTACCCCGGATAACTCGGGCGCCCAACCTCTACAGGAGGAGTACTCAAGAACTGAGTTGCCTCGATACGCCCGTTTTGAAACGCAACACGTCCCGTGTTCAAGACGTCCGTGTCAATACGTTGCGTGTTGACCCCACGTATTGGCCCACGTTTTGGCGAACGTCTCGCGTCGGACCTACGTTGTCAGTCCACGTGTTGAGCTCCGTGTCAATACGCTACGTGTCGCGTGTTGCTTATTGGGGCAGTTGAGTTGAAAAATAGTCAAACAACAGTCTGGGGGCGATGTTTCTTTGTTGCTTTTAGTATGATGGCACGTTTCGAGCATGTTTGATTGCTGTTTGACTTCTCATTCAAAAAACGCCTGTAGAGGGCATGACCGACCTAAGGAAAGGTCGGGGCCGGAGGGGACGATAGTCGGGAGCCCACAATCGAAGAAGATAAAACGCCATGGACATACATTTTTGGCGCTCCGCGCGGATTTCTTGGATCCGCGCTGGAGCCCCTCCGGCGGCGCCGTGGGCGCCGCCCTTGGCGCGCTCCGCGCGCCATGGAGTGGTGTCCAGCGCGGATCCAAGAAATCCGCGCGGAGCGCCCAAAGTTCATTTTTATGGCGCTATTACCTAACAGCGAAGACTAATAGGTTTCTGGTAGGGCCAAAAGAAAGCATCATGACGCCCCAGGGGGGGCTGGGCGGGATCCGGGGAGATGCCGGGGACTTTTTTTAGCCAACAGTTACACACTTCGTGGTCTTCGAGGTCCCAGAACTCCATTCCCGGGCCACATTCTGAATGCCCGGAGCCAACTGTAGGCCACTTCGTGCTCTTCGAGTTCCCAGAACTCCATTCCTGGGCCACATTTTTTGAATGCCCGGAGCCAACTGTAGGCCACTTTGTGCTCTCCGAGTTCCCAGAACTCCATTCGCGGGCCACATTTTGAATGCCCGGAGCCAACTGTATACGCCACTTCCTGGTCTTCGAGTTCCCAGAATTCCATTCCAAGCCACATTTTGAATGCTGAGGTAGGCTGAGGCTGAGGCTGAGGCAGGCTGAGGCTCATGCAGGCTGAGGCTGAGGCCGAGGCTGAAGGCAGACTGAGGCTGAGGCTGAAGCAGGCTGAGGCTGAGGCTGAGGCAGGCTGAGGCTTTGGCTGAGGCAGGCTGATGCTGAAGCAGGCTGAGGCTGAGGCTGATGCTGATGCAGGCTGAGGCTGAGGCAGGCTGAGGCCGAGGCCGAGGCTGAAGGCAGACTGATGCTGAGGCTGAAGCAGGTTGAGGCTGAGGCTGAGGCTGAGGCAGGCTGAGGCTGAGGCAGGCTGATGCTGAGGCCGAGGCTCAAGGCAGACTGATGCTGAGGCTGAAGCAGGTTGAGGCTGAGGCTGAGGCAGGCTGAGGCTGAGGCTGAGGCAGGCTGATGCTGAGGCAGGCTGAGGCTGAGGCAGGCTGAGGCTGAGGCTGAGGCTGATGCAGGCTGAGGCTGAGGCAGGCTGAGGCTGAGGCCGAGGCTGAAGGCAGACTGAGGCTGAGGCTGAAGCAGGCTGAGGCTGAGGCTGAGGCAGGCTGAGGCTGAGGCTGAGGCTGAGGCTGAGGCTGAGGCAGGCTGAGGCTGAGGCTGAGGCTGATGCAGGCTGAGGCTGAGGCAGGCTGAGGCTGAGGCCGAGGCTGAAGGCAGACTGAGGCTGAGGCTGAAGCAGGCTGAGGCTGAGGCAGAGGCAGGCTGAGGCTGAGGCTGAGGCAGGCTGATGCTGAGGCAGGCTGAGGCTGAGGCTGAGGCTGATGCAGGCTGAGGCTGAGGCAGGCTGAGGCTGAGGCCGAGGCTGAAGGCAGACTGAGGCTGAGGCTGAAGCAGGCTGAGGCTGAGGCTGAGGCAGGCTGAGGCTGAGGCTGAGGCAGGCTGATGCTGAGGCAGGCTGAGGCTGAGGCTGAGGCTGATGCAGGCTGAGGCTGAGGCAGGCTGAGGCTGAGGCCGAGGCTGAAGGCAGACTGAGGCTGAGGCTGAAGCAGGCTGAGGCTGAGGCTGAGGCAGGCTGAGGCTGAGGCTGAGGCAGGCTGAGGCTGAGGCTGAGGCTGATGCAGGCTGAGGCTGAGGCAGGCTGAGGCTGAGGCCGAGGCTGAAGGCAGACTGAGGCTGAGGCTGCAGGCTGAGGCTGAGGCTGAGGCAGGCTGAGGCTGAGGCTGCAGGCTGGCTGAGGAGGCTGAGGCTGAGGCTGAGGCTGAGGCTGAGGCTGAGGCAGGCTGAGGCTGAGGCTGAGGCTGCAGGCTGAGGCTGAGGCAGGCTGAGGCTGAGGCCGAGGCTGAGGCTGAGGCTGAGGCTGAGGCTGAGGCTGAGGCTGAGGCTGAGGCTGAGGCTGAGGCTGAGGCTGAGGCTGAGGCTGAGGCTGAGGCAGGCTGATGCTGAGGCAGGCTGAGGCTGAGGCTGAGGCTGATGCAGGCTGAGGCTGAGGCAGGCTGAGGCTGAGGCCGAGGCTGAAGGCAGACTGAGGCTGAGGCTGAAGCAGGCTGAGGCTGAGGCTGAGGCAGGCTGAGGCTGAGGCTGAGGCAGGCTGAGGCTGAGGCAGGCTGAGGCTGAGGCTGAGGCTGATGCAGGCTGAGGCTGAGGCAGGCTGAGGCTGAGGCCGAGGCTCAAGGCAGACTGAGGCTGAGGCTGAAGCAGGCTGAGGCTGAGGCTGAGGCAGGCTGAGGCTGAGGCTGAGGCAGGCTGAGGCTGAGGGTGTGACTGCGACTGCCGTTGCCACTTCGACTGTCATCGCGAATGCGACTACGACTGCGAGAACAGCAGAATTCTACAACTGGATTCTCATCTCAATCTTAAGGGGAATGCTTCCAGATATGCTCCAATACATCGCTGTTAGGTTGCTTTGTCGGGATAATTCTTTTTCTTCTGCACCAAGGACGTACGCGCCCAACTTTGTACATGAAGACGGCCCCCCAGTCCGGACGGTCGCGCCAGGCGTACTCGAAAATGGCGTGGGTTCATGTACGTGTACGTCCTTCTGTCGCTCCTGAATATGGGGCGAAGGGCGGACATTACAGGCATTTGCCCGGGAGCCAGAGACGACGATAGGGGCGAATAGCCCAGGTCGGGGCTCAAGAGGTGAGACGGGGGTCAGTGCAAACGGGGGGCAGTCAGAGCGCCAGATCTTGCAGGATCCTGCCGAGCCAGGGTCGCAGTGACCCCGGCCTGGGTACAGGATCCTGCAGGATCCTGCAGGATCTTGCAAAGCCTGCCTGACCCGGGTCTGGATTGGCCCGGGTCAGTTAGATCCCCGATCAGGGGTGGGCATTTTTGCGTCGCTGATGCATCAGCGATGCGGCTCGATGTGGAGCCCGTTCTCTCCACGCCGACGTCGCCGGCATCATCGGCGATGCTGCGCGATTCTTCGACCCCATATGCTCCGACCCCATCCAGGAGGCCTCCTCTGTGAGGAACAGCGTCCGGGGGGGGGGATAGTCACGTATGCGAACGGTCGAACCGCCTGGAGGAAAATAGTGGCCCTTCTGATTCATTGGCTGGTGCCGCACCGCCGACCCCTCGGGGCGGCAGTAAGAGCGAAAAGCTGAGTTTGCGGAACGCGGGCGATTTCTGGGGAATCTTGGGGTTTCAGCTTCCTGGGATTTCGTCGGGGGCGGTTGGCGGATCGCGGCTCCGCGCTTGCCCTTCTCTGGGCTCTCTTGGCAGCACTTTTGAGGCCCCTTGGGGGCCGTCTTGAGGCCTCTGGGGGCCTCTTTTGGCCCTCTGAGTTTCATCTCGCGTGGGCTCCGCGCGCGCACCTGCCTGGGCTGCCAACGGTGGCCTCAGCGCCCAGCGGCACGGGGGCCCAGGCTTAGCCCGGGCCAGCCACATGCACCGAAGAACAAGGCCTGCAGACGCGCCGACCATTCTGGGGCAACGATGGGGGGGGGGGGGACAGGCACCGGGGGGGGGCGGGGGGGAAATGCATTGGCCCCCAATCGCCCACTGATCGCCGCAAGGTGCCCGACAGCCCCAACCTGCCCAGGAACGTGCGGATTCACCGACCGCCGATCCGTCGGTGACGTATCGCCGCTTCCATGTCGATGCGTCCCTCCCTATGCCAGTCCCCCCCGATCGTTGCCCCTCAACCATGAGCCCACGCTGGATAGGCTCCGGGTGGAACGCATGGGCCCCCCATCGCACACGCCTCGCCAGTAGGAACCTCTGGGCCCTGGACGCGACAGGGCCATTTCTGTAATATCTGTTCCGTTCTGCATTTTTTTCTGCCAGGTCAGGCGTCATTCTTTTGTTTCCAGTCCAGTTCCGTCGCAGTTGTGTTCTTCCAGTTCCGGCCCAACGTTGAGGATGTGGGGAGCACGAGGAGGGGGAGACGGAGGGGGAGGAGGAGGAGGAGATGGTGGAGGGGGAGGGGAATTCAGCTTTCGGGAAAGTTTCCATGTTTTTGCAGCCTCTGGAGGCTTCAGGGAGTTCCCTACCTGAAGACTTGCAGAGCCAGATGCTCTTGGAGGCCCAGCTTACAGACCCAGGCTGGTGGTCTGTCTTCACTTGTGCGGATCCAGGCGGTGTTCCCGTTGGCCGAGCTCGTGGAGCTGAGCTCGGGCGACACATAATGGGAGAGGGATCGGGGACGAAGCGCGGGTACCAGGGAAGGGGTCGGGGCCGCCAACGAAAGTGGCCCAGGCAGGATGGACCGAGGAGGGAAGGATGCAAGGGTACGCTTGAGAAGGTTGCCCATCTTTACTATGCGGTTTGCGTGCAAGTATTATTGGGGACCTGCGGGCATCATCCCGGGAGAAGTGTAGGTGTGAGCGAGGGGAGGGGGCGAGGGAGGAGGAAGTTAAAGCCAGGAATGAGGGATGATGGGATGATGCAGGGAGAGCTAGGTCGGGCAGGTGCTTCTACAGGCGGATTTTGGGCGAAACATAACAAGTAGGAGAAACATACTCTAACATAGTCAAACAAGAATACTCAAACAAATACTCCCCATACAACTTTTGATGCTGAATATTCCTCCTGTAGAGGGACACGCCCTTCTGAAAGGAAGAGAGGAGGGAAACACGAGAAGGGGGAGCTGGAAGAGGAGGAGGTCATACTCCTCTTGCCTTGTGGTCGGGCCTCCACTGTACTCAGTATAAGGAGCACGAAAAGCACGGGAATGAGAGCGAAGATGGCGAAGGAGGAGGTGGAGGTGAAGGAAGACCATCAGCAAGGCGAGAAGGAGAAGGAGGAAGCGGAGGAGGAGGAGCAGGACGAGGAGGACGACAATGTGGACGAAAAGTGAGGGAGGGAGGATTCGAAGGAGGATGAGGGAGGGGAATGTTCGAACGTTCCATGGAGATACAGGTAATGACGATGGTGATGACGTGTTGATGGTGACGATGATAGTGATAAGTGTGATGATGATGCTGATGATGGTGATGATGCTGATTATGATGATGATGATGATGATGATGATGATGATGACGATACGGATGGTGATAAGGAACATGATGACGATGATGATTATTGTGGTGATGATAATGACGATGTTGATGATGCTGATGACGCTGATGCTGATACTGATGCTGATGCTGATGCTGATGCTGGTGATGATGTTGTGTTTGATGATGATGATGATGATGATGATGATGGTGATGATGATACTGATGGTGATAAGGAGTATGATGACGATGATGGTTATGATGGTGATGATGATGATGACGATGATGATGATGATGCTGATGACGCTGATGATGATGCTGATGCTGATGCTGTTGCTGGTGATGATGTTGTGGCTGAGGATGATGATGCTGATGATGATACGGATGGTGATAAGGATGTGATGACGATTATGATTATATTGGTGATGATAATGACGATGCTGATGACGCTGATGATGATGCTAATGCTGATGTTGATGCTGATGCTGATGCTGGTGATGATGATGATGATGTGGTTGTTGATGATGATGATACGGATGGTGATAAGGATGATGATGGCGATGGTGCTTATGATGGTGATCATGGTGATGACGATGCTGATGCTGATGCTTATGACGCTGATGCTGATGCTGATGCTGATGCTGGTGATGATGTTGTTGTAGATGATGATGATGATGTTGATGATACGGATGGTAATAATGATGATGATGATGACGATGCTGAGAATGATGGTGATGGTGATGACGATGCTGAGGATGATGCTGATTACGCTGATGCTGATGCTGATGCTGATGCTGATGCTTGTGATGATGTTGTGGTTGATGATGAGGATGATGATGATGTTGATGATACGGATGGTGATAATGATGATGACGATGATGATTATGATGGTGCTGATGATGATGATGTCGATGATGATGCTGATGACGCAGATGCAGATGCTGATGCTGATGCTGATGCTGGGGATGATGTTGTGGTTGGTGATGATGATGATGATGATGATGTTGTTGATGATGATGACGATGATGATGCTGATGATGATGATGATGATGAGTATGAGAAGGAGGAGGAGGAGCAGGAGCAAGAGGAGGGTGATGATGATGATGATGATGATGATGATGATGAGGCTGATTATTGTGCTGATGGTGAACCTGATGCTGATACTGATGCTGCTGGTGAGGGCGATGCTGATGATGATGGGGATAGTTCTGATGGCCACGGTGCTGGTGATGATGCTGCTCCGCGCCCGCGCCGAGGCTGCTGCAGGCGGACGCCCCGGAGGAGATCGCGATCTACGCGGGCCCGCAGTACCTCGCGGCCCTCCAGCTCGACGGCGGATCGCGGCCGCCGTGGGGCGGCTGCTGCTGCCTCCCGTCTGCTCAATCCCTCTTTTGCTCCTGCAACGATCTAGCTCGGGAACTGAAACATATGCGTTACCAGTGGCGGGCTGTTTTGCAATCCCACGACTTTTTTTAGGGTCGGGGGCGACGTCGGGGTGGTGTGGTGTATACTTGTTCCCCCGCTTTTCTGTGGGATTAACGAAACATGTATGCACCAGGATCCCGCATACACCATGATCCGCTTTCCCGTGCGAGTTCCAGTGCGGGGCCAAAAAAAAGCGTCGGCGTATAGAGTTGGTATCCCAACTCGCGCACTCATTCCAGCCAAGCAGTGGCGGAGCGTCCTGGCGTGCCTGCTGGCCTGCCCGGCAGTGTTCGGAGGACCTCTGTTTTTGGTGGTCTCCGCGGAGTGTGCTCTCAGAACAGATCTGGCCGGGACCGTCCCGTTTCAGCACGTCGGGGCTGTGCTCCAAGAGCATCGTGTTGGCTCTCAGAACATGTCTGGCCGGGACTGTCCTGTTTCAGCGCATCGAGGTTGTGTTCTGAGAGCTGTTGGCTCTCGGAACATTTACAGGTTCAGAGAGAATTTCGTGGTAGGCCTGTAGGAATACCAGGACGGTCGGGATTGTCTTGTTTCAACACATCGGGTTTGTGTTCTAAGAGCATCGTGTTGGCTCTAAGAGAATTTTGTGGCAAGCCTGTAGGAATGCCGGGACGGTGGGTCCCTGCTCCTTTCATGGCGGTTCACTGATGAACTACGTCACAGCGTATTTTTCTGCCGACGATCTCGAGCTCAGCGACGGCGTCTTGACATTATGCCCAGAGCGTTGGATGTACAAGGGGCTCACAAAGTTCGGTTCGTGACGCAGGAGGATGACCGACACATTAGGCAGAGGATGAACGACGCAGTATCCTCATTGGTCTGGCTCCTGACCTGTTCTCCATCATTAGCAGGGGCTATATACGGCCCCACCGCCGACGCCTTCAAGGCAGCGGGCATCGGTGTTCGCCTCGCCCCCGCTCGCCCTCCCCTCCAGGCGCAGCAAAGAAGAACCACAGTTACAACGCCGTGTTTATATATATATATATATAGCGCTTCGCTAGAGGGTTCTGACAGTGCCGCAGAAAAGTCCCACAGGGGGGGACGGAGAGCCCTAAGCCCGCCCAGTGACGACAGTCGTTCGGCCCGAGATTTTCTCCCGGTTGATTCAGGCATCATCTCCTCCTCCTCCTCCTCCTCCTCCTCCTCCTCCTCTTCCTCCTCCTCCTCCTCCTCCTCCTCCTCCTCCTCCCCCCTCCTCCCCCTCCACCTCCCCCTCCCCCTCCCCCTCCCCCTCCCGTGCTCTCCGCCTCAATGATGGCCGCAGGTTGAGTCCTGACGGCCACGGCTCGCTCGAGCAGGAATGCGCTGGAGGTGCACACATGGCCGTGCCCTCACCCCTGCCCCAGCACGTTCTCGCGATCCCACCTCCCGCTCCTCGAGCCGCCTCTTCACCGCTGCTGTAAGTAGTCGCGTCCTTTGCCAGCGCATAATTCTGGAGGGCCTCGCGGGGAGGAGCCCGCCGACCCCGCCATGGACGTGTGGGTTGTGGTTGTAGTCGCTCTGGTTCACCTGGGACGCCCACCTCGAGCACACCCGATACCGAGCCGGCTTCGGTGTCTGACGATGGTTGGCATGCCCCAGGGATCCCCCCCCCCCCAGGGCGTGTCGTCGACGCGGTTGCGTTCGCCTGCTGTCCCGCAGCCTTCTGCCCCTCCCCTCCTCGCTCCCGCGACGCGTGCGACGACGAGCAGGGGCGGAGGACGAGCAGCCGGGGAGCCGGGCCGCGAGCCCAGGGGCAACGACAACGGGCATCAGGCGAAGAGCGAAGGGGGACAGCGAACCGCTCCCCTCCTCCGTCGGCGGCCGACGGCCGCCGTGCTGCGCTCCGGGGCACAGACCTCGATGGCGCCTCAAATCGCGGGAAATCGCGGGTTTGGACGCCCGAAATGGGTACTGAAAGAATGGGCACGATGCCCAACAACAATTCCTGTTCGTTTTCAACAGGATTCGCTGTCCACGCCGCCGCGGCCTGTGTCCATTCGAGGCAGTAGGCCGCCTGCCCAACAGCGGCCGCTGTTGGCTTGGGACAACATTTGTTGTTGGGCATAGTGCCCATTCTTTCCGTGCCCATCTCGGGTGTCCAAAGCGGGGGGATGCGGCCCGAGTACCACCTCCTCTGTGATGCCATCCCATGCCTTGCCTACCAGCTTTCTGTCGGGCGTGTCCCCCCTACAGGGGGGATTCTCGACGAAAAATAAGAAATCCACCAAAATACCCCAAAAAGGCAACAAAAAAAAAAAAGTCCCCAGACTATTTTTCGTATTTTTGTTTAATAACTTTTTGGGGTATTTTTCATTTTTCGTCGAACATCCCCCTGTAGGGGGACAGGCCCGACTTAACGCCAGCTCCACGGGGGGGGGCGGCGGAGGCGACGGGCGACAGGAGGGGGCGAGGAGGGATGGGCCCCCTCTCCACTTCAGCGGGTCGGCTCAGTCATCCAAGCGACCTCGGGTGATGCATCCTCCTTCCCATACATACACGGGCGACACGAGGGGGCGAGGAGGGATGGGCCCCCTCCACTTCAGCGGCGGCTCCAGTCATCCAGGCGACTTGGGGTGGTGCATCCTCCTGTCCTTCCCATACATGCGCCCTTCCTCCGTCGCAGCGCCTCCCCTCAATTGACTGGCCAGCGCAGGCGGTGCGGCGGGCAGAGGTAGGGAGTGGGGAGGATTGGTGAGGGGGAGAGAGAGAGAGAGAGAGAGTCGGGGCGGGTGTGCATGGCCCCGGGGCAGGGACCATGCTGAACCACCTAGTTCTACCAGCCTGAACGCAGCATTCGTGCGCACTGCTGGCATCATCATGGAGCAAATGTAGGTACAATAATTGGGTTTCTAACCGAATGCGGGAGATATGGAGCATGCAGGGAATGACGAAAATTCAGAAACCAAAATATTGAAAACGTTGGGAGGTTTATCGATTATGTTGTATCGAATGATTTGTGCCTCCCTGTTTTCTGGTATTGAATTCTTCTTCTACTCATCCTCCTCCTCCCCCTCCTCCTCCTCCTTCTCCTTCTCCTCCTCCTCCTCCTCCATACAACCTCCCCTCAAGATCCTTCCCTCCTTTGCGCTAGCGCCAGCGATGGGACCTGGAGGCCCCGAGGGCGGCCTACGAGGGCTCCAAGACGGCCCCCGGGCCTTTTAGACGGCCGACGAGGGCCCCAAGAGCCAAGAGGCGCCCAAGAGGGGCCCAAGATGGGAAATACAAACCTACATGTCCAGCCTTTCCACCCAGAGGCCCCAAGAGGCCCGCGAGGAGCAGCCGGGGGGTAGTACGGGCCGCCGATCCGAGCATATCTTTGTGGGCTCCCCCCCCCCCGGGATCCTGGCCTGCTTAAGGCCCCCCCCGCCTCGGGAGCCGGAGGGGCCTCCGCTCAGGCAGTGGCGAAGCGTCCTGGCTCGCCTATAGCCTAGCCCTGCCAAGCAATGTTCTAAGAACCTTTTTGTGGTTTCCACGACATGTTCTTAGAACATGTATGGCGGATGTAGTTTTGTTTTAACACATCAGGTGTATGTTCTAAGAACATTGCGTTTGTTGTTAGAACATTCTTGGGTTCTAAGAACATGTCGTGGTATGACTATAGGAATGCCGGGACGGTCGGTCCCTGCTCAATCCACAGAAAAAGTGCATAATCACGAGTTAAACAAATGTTTAATTTGGATGAAACCTTTTTGACCTTGTACCTGCAGTGCTGCAGCACTGGAAAGAGTTTGCTCCATATTAAACCTCTCCACATCTGAAGCGCCCCTGTGGCGACCATGTCGCCTCTTCTCTAATTCCGCGGCGCATGCTCTGTTCACGTCCTGCACATTCGCTCGCCCATTCTTCGCCGATGGGGGCCAGATGTGAGTCGGGCCTGTCCTTCTGCAGGAGGGATGCTCAAAAGTAGTCAAACTATAGTCCGGGGGCGATGTTTAAACCAGGCGTATTTCCAATGATTCGCCCAAAAAAGTCCCCCTGCAGGGGGACAGGCCCGACCCCGGGCCAGATCGGCCCACCCCGCCCAGGACCGCTCATGCTCGCCAGCGGGGGCCTCTATCGCAGGAGAGCTGTCGCCGATCTATCGCCGCTGGCAGGTGGAGGTTTCCACCCCCTCCCCAGCCGGTCCCCCCTTTCACCGTCCCTTCTGCAGGGCTCGTTTCGATTCCTTCGATTCGATTCGATTCGATTTCGATGGATTCCGATTTCGATTCGGTTCGACTTCGAATTCCGACTTGGATTCCGATTCCTCAATGAGGCATTACTACTCTGCCGATTTCCCCCGATCCGACTCCTCCCTGCTTGGCTGCCGATTTCCGCCGATCCGATTAATTTGGATCGCCGATTCGACTCTTCGTTTCGATCTGGGGCTCTCCTGCTTCTGTCCACGCCGATTTTGAATCTGATCCACGCTGGCCGTCGCCGATGCGTGAAGGGTCGTTCACGAGGTGACGATGACCAACCTGGGCGATGACCAGATGGCCAAGATGGGCACCATTTTTCCGTGCTCAGTCCTGGTTATGTTCCTCTTACCTACCAGCTTGGGACATCCCTATCCCTATGCTGGGCATCTCCTCGTCACGATGCCAATCTTAGGCATTCCCTTAGTTTTGGAGGGCGAATCCCTAAGATTGTCATCGCCTTTTGGCGTGTCAACCTTAGGATACGATACGTTCGAGGCTGGAAATCCTCGTTTCCTGTTCAACAGGCGCCCCTCTGCTTCTTTTGGGGGGGGGGGGGCGCGGCGGCCAGGAACGCTCGACCTGCAGCTGCTCGACCACGCCAGCGACAGGGCATGGGACAGCAGGACGCCGCAGCCCCAGCGGCAGAAGGAGAGCGAAGGGGCCCAAGGACACAAATAAATACACAGGAATAACAGGATGCCCCATATTTCCCTATATTTTCTCTGGTTTTGTGTCTCCCCCCCCTTCCCATAGTTTCCAATATTTTCGGGGGAATCGACGATGGATTGTGTCCGTGTGTTTTGTCCCTCCTGAGAGAGGACGGCACGGTGTGGGCGGAGGGAGGAGACCCCAGGCCGCCCCACGGGGGTTCGCTTCAGGTGGGGTCGAAGCTCGTGCCTCACGGCCTATCCCTGGCGATGCGGCTCGATGCTGAGCCTCATTTCCTTCACGCCCGCGGCGCCGGTGCATCACAGGCGTTGCCGATGCATCGCCGACGTGGCGCGATCCCTCCGACCCCGCCGCCTCGGACCCCTCGTGGGAGTCCTCCAGGGAGGCAAGGGGCTTCGGTCATCTGACGGAGTAACTCAGATGCCGGGCCACAAAAAGAGAATCCAACAAGAAACGACTTCTCAGAGAAGAATCCTCCCTACTGCCCAACGGAAACTTCGCCGGCCCAACGGGCCAGAGGCGTGCTAAGATCTCCGGTAACTGGTTATCCCACACTGGCCAGGCCGAAAGGGGGGAAGGAGGTAAGTGAGGACAACGAGGGAGGGAGTGAGGACGGGGACGACGACGCCGACCACAGCGGCAACGGCGCCGACGGCAGCGACGGTGGAGACGACGGTGACGGTGATGCTGACGGTGTCGGTGACGACAACGACCACGATGACTACGACGACGACGAGGTCGGCGATGACGACGACGAAGACGACCATGAGGTCGGCGATGACGACGACGACGACGACGACCTCGGCTACGACGACGACGACGACGACAGCGAGGTCCGGCTGCGGCCGCCCGAGCAGCGCGCAGGACCCTCGCCAAGGGTGCGCGGCGGGTTGCCGCCGCGTGGGACGCGGACGGCGAGGCCTTACCACCGCCTCGCCGTCGCCGTCGCAGGTCATCGTCCTGGGCTTCGTCGGCGCCGTCGTCGCCGTCGTCCTCGCCGCCGTCGCCGTCGTCGCCGTCGCCGTCCTCGTCCGCACCGTCGCCGTTGCCGCCGCTACCGCCGCCGCCGAAGTCCTCCTCGGCTTCGTCGTCGGCATCGGAGTCGTTGTCGCCGTCGCCGCCGTCGTCGTCGCCGCCGTCGTCTTCGCCGACCTCGTTGCCGTCGGCATTGTCGCCGTCGTCGTCGTTGTCGTCGTCATTGTCGCCGTCGTCGTCGTTGTCGGCGTCGTCGTCGCCGCCGCCGCCGTCGTCACCGTCCTCGTCCTCGCCGCCGCGGTCGTGGTCGTCGTGCTCGTCGTCGTCCTCGCCGCCGCCACTTGCCGTCCTCGTCTCCACCGTCGTCGTCGTGTGGGCCTGGCGCGTCCAACCCGGGCCCGATGGCTGAGCGGCGCCACGGGCCACGGCCTCAGGCGCCCCGAACGAGATCGAGATGGCCCGTCTCGGGCCCCATTCCGGACGAGGTCTCGGGCCCCGGGGCAGTGGTGAACACATTCGGCTCGTGGTGATCTTTCGGCCCTGGGGAGGAGGTCACGAGGTCCCGCGGGCCCGCGCACCGAAGAGGTCGAGGCGCCAGGCGTCTGGGGAGCTCATCTTGTCTTTGCCGGGGCTGGCAATCGCAGCTCGACTTGGCGGAAGACTGCCACCGAGGCGAACGGTGCGTTAGCCTTTTGCAGGTCAGCTGTTGGCTGCGTCGGCGTTGTCGTCGTCGCCTGCGTCGTCGCCTGCGTTGTTCGTCTGCGTCTTCGTTCTCGTCTTCGCCGCCCCTCCTCGTCGGCGTCGGCGTCGGCGTCGTTGACATTTCAGAGGCTTTTGGGCGTTGCCGGTGATCGACGATCGTGGTCGCCGCCGTAGTTTTTCGTCTGCGTCGGGATCGTCATCGTCGTCGCTGCCGTCTGCAGACGTCTGGACGCCGCCCAGAGGAGAAGGAATCAGTGTTACTAGTACGCTTCAGGGGCGGAAGACGTGGATGGTCGGTGTGAAGGACTGAGGTTCCTCCTCGTCGTCCTCTACTCGCTGTTCCCTCCTGCTCCTCCTGCCTCTGCACAGTTCTCGTTGCTCACTCCCCGTCCTCCTTCTCGCACATCCTGCCCCTTCATCCCCGCCTGGCCAGCCGTCTGGAGGAGCAGGTGGAGGAGGTTGAGGTTCCTCCCTTCTCCCTCCGCCTCTTCAAGCCCACTCCTCACTCCTCACATCGGTTCCTCTTGGGCCGGCCTTCCTCCCCCTCCTTCCCTCCCTCCCTGTCCCTCATTCTCCATCGCTCTCTCTCTCTCTCTCTATCTCTCGCTCTCCCCTTTCTCCCTCTTCTCCTCCCCTCCTCCATCCCCCTCAGGTCATTTCGCGCCTCCACGTGGTCGCCTCCTAAGTTGGGTTCAGAGGCCCTTGTGATGCAGTGCTGTTGGACGTAATGCCTTGAAAATGAGTTCCAGGTCGTGTAGTGGATTGTAACTCCATGTAATGTAGTCGAATGCGATGTAATTCTCAGTTCCTCCCTTCTCCTTCCCCCGAGGTCGCAGGTTTTTCGGTATCGCCCCTGAGGTCGAATGCGAAAGCCCTTCCACATCTTGTCCTCAGGCAGCCTGGCGCTTCTCTCTACAGGCGCAAGCTCCGAATCGCAGTCGTCCCGTGCCGTTCCGTTCCGTTCCTCCGCCCCCTCGCGCCCCCCCCCCACGACGCTCAGCGGGGGCCCGGGGAGCCGTCCACACCTGGAGGGGGGCGTCCACCCGTGAAAGTCCTCGCTTCGTTCCGCCGCCGCCGCCTCTGCTGGGGCCAGGGAGCGGACGCCTGGAGTGGAGGCCCTGGGCTTCTTGGGCTTCGATGGCCTTGCCCTGGAGAGCGTGACGTTTTTTATCCCAAGAAGCCACTGGACGCCCTGGGGTTTGGGCTGGGGTCTCAGGGTTGGGTCTCTTGCGGAAGGCCTCTTGTGGACGGGCCTCCACTGTAAGGCGGAGGATTGGGTCGGGTCGGCGAGCCGCCTCCCTTCCCTCGTCCGCCGGCTGCTCGCCCACCCCCCCCGCCTGCTAGAAAGCCCAGGGCGGGCAGCCCGTTTTGCTCGTCTGCTGGCTCTCCGGCGGCGCCGTCCCCCTGCAGGACCGCGCCGCGCGCCGCGCTGCCGCGGCCGAGGGCGATCCGCGGCTGTCCGTGGCCCCCCAGAAAGCGGCGCGGGCGGAGACGGTCGGAGGACGCGTATCGACTAGACGTAAGAGTGACCTCCCGCCGGTTTGACCTTTGGTGCGGGCACAGATGGGTCCCCAGGCGGCTGAAAACGAAGCAGGAGCAGCGGCTTGCGCGCCCAGGTTTGGTCCCCCCACGGCCCCCCCAAAGCCGCGCACCGAAGGTCACTCTTACCCGGGGTCACTCTTGCGTGCAGCCGAGCGTAATGGGGGGGGGGTGATACATCATCGAGAACACAGGAATCCCGAACCCTGATGACACGATGAAGACGTGGCCTCACTTAGGTCCCCGTCTCGGCATTGGGGATAGGAATTCTGGGCGGTTTCGTGCGAGACGTCTGCAGAACAGACCCCCTCTATCCCTAATGTTCTGGGCCCTCCTAACTCAAGGCCCATCCCAGAGGATCAGGGGTCCTTTTCTTGCTGGTCAATCAATGGGGGGGGCAGCGAGGGCTGCAGCAAGGGACCCACTCGAGCCCCGGAGGGGGCCCTCTCGGGCCCCAGAAGGGGGCCTTCAGGGCCCGAGACGGGCGCCTTTTTCGCCCCCTCCGTTCATCGCCCTTGCCTTAGGTTCGGCAATTGACTACAGGCGGTCCATAGGAAAACCTGCCGAAATCTTGAAAACATCTTCGGCCCGTTTGGGCTTTTGGGCCCGAAATGGGTCGTGGACCTCCTGTAGTCGCAACTGCCGGACCTCACCCTTGCCTCCCTTCTCCGCCCAAAAGACGGGAGCCGGCGAAGCAGACACGGCACGGAGACATGAGCGCTGGAGGGCTCCCCCCTCCTCCTCCTCCTCCTCCTCCTCCTCCTCCTCCTCCTCCTCCTCCTCCTCCTCCTCCTCCTCCTCCTCCTCCCTCCTCCTCCTCCTCCTCCCCCTCCCCCTCCTCCCTCCTCCTCCCCTCCTCCTCCTCCTCCTGCCCCTCCTCCTCCTCCTCCTCCTCCTCCTCCTCCTCCTCCTCCTCCTCCTCCTCCTCCTCCTCCTCCTCCTCCCCCTCCTCCTCCTCCTCCTCCTCCTCCTCCTCCTCCCCTCGTGCACGGCTGCCTGTGGGGCAGGGTCGGGTGAGGAGGGCGCGGCTGGCCCGGGGCCGACGTCCTCAACTGGCAGGCTGCCGCGCTCACGCCACAGCGCCCGGCCGCGGCGGCGGCAAAGAAGACGCAATCGGCGCGGTTTCCACCACCACCACCGCCAGAAGTTTGAGGGGTGTGTGGGTCCTCCTCCTGCTCCTCCTCCTCCTCCTCCTCCTCCAACTGGTGGTGGTGGTGGTGGTGGAAGACAGGCTCATCACAACCGGTAGGCTGCCGCGCTCACGCCACAGCGCCCGGCCGCGACGGCGGCATAGAAGACGGGCGCGTCGCCTCGCGGCCGCCGCGGCCGCTGTGGAGGAGCATTGCAGCATGGGCAGGGAGCAGAGGAGCAGGTGCTGTTTTTTCCGGTGGAGCCGTAGCGTCCGCCACGGGGGTTTGCCTTCGGGTCGCAAATCATGGGAGCTTGGTGTTTGGTGTGCCCTCTCAATTCCGTCGTTAGCGTCGATTCGCGTCGATCAGCGTCTGGGAGTCGGTATGGTAGCGCCGATTCAGCGTCGGCTAGCGTTGATTAGCGTCGATGTAGCGCGTCGATTAGCGTGGATTTAGCGTCGATTGGCGTCGATTCGCGAGAGCCGGCAAGAAGGTATGGGAAGCTCCCATGCGTTGCCACCGAACGCTTGCTCCCTCCCCCCCACACGCCCTCCCCGTAACGTCACCGAGCGTTCGCGAGGGGAGGGGGGGGGCGGTTCCCCTAGATGGCGTAGTGTTTTTTGGTGTTCGCGAGCATGCTGTGGCGCTCGCAGGCCCGACCACCCCCCTCCCCGCCGCAGTGGGCATCACGGGGGGGCACAGAATCAATCCCATACAGTGGGGACGCGCATCAAGCAACCAGGTCCCGCTCATCAGGGTTCCCCAGGTTTCTTCGCTGCGCGGCGACTGCACGCGGGCGTTGAGAGACTGCTGCGCCCAGGGTGTCCTTGGCCCCACCAGACCGTATTTTGCACCCGGTTTTCCAGGCCTTGCCAGGGTTTCCCCCGGCCGCGTCCGCATTGTAAACAAACGTGAGGATTTCATAGACTGGCGGCGCCTCCGGCGCCGCCCCTGGTGCGCTCCTCGCGCAAGGGATGAAGGTCCACCGCGGATACAAGGTAATCCGCGCGGACCTCCGAGAAATTACTGTCGAAACCGATCGTAAAATCACGGTCGCCTTCCCAGAGGTACCCTTGCATGCTTGCCTCTCCGGTCCATCCACGACTACCGTCGATGGCCCGCCCCTTTCGACAAAGCTTCAACACGGGCGTCCAAGGGACTTGCATCCTTATCTCGGCGGCGAGCGAGGGGAAAAATGAGAAGGAGGAGGAAGCCTCAGCCTTTCTGAACAGTTTCCTATGCCTTCCTCGAAGACAAAGGAAACTTCTCAGAAAGCGAAAGGCCTTCTGAGATGGCCTTCCCCTTCTCACTCTCCCCCCTCGCTCGCCGCTGATGCACCCATCAGAAATCTCAATAACAAAAACAGCGACCTTCGTGGACTCCAGACTTCGCTCAAGAAAGTAAAGAAACTGGACTGGGCCCTGGGCGTTGTCTTACATACGTTCCCCAATTAGGCTTGCCCATGGGGTTCTTACTTGGTTAAAGGTTGTTGCCTCCTAGTTATTGTTACTGCGCACGCTGCCAATACAATCGGAAGCTTTCCCCTCATGGGGGTCGCGCCGGATTCATTCGTCAAACGGTCGTATCGCTGGGCCTGGGCGACTGTCTGGGGACTCGCTCGGAGTGAAGTCTGCGCAGGAGTGTACGTCTGGATGCGTTGCAGCAGCTGCGCCTCGCCGAGAGGGCGTCCCCGGCGGTGCACCACACGGCGAGGTGTGTTGTCACAGGCGTCTCTGGCCCAACTCGTCCCCCGGGTCGCCAGGGACGCCCAAGTGGCGTCCCTCCGGAGCAGTCCCCCTCACGACGCCCAGAGGCGTGGCATCGTCTGAACGTTTAAATTTTTCTTCGGCAATGACCATCGAGGGTGATAGATGATCTAGGATCCTCGTGCGAAAAAACACACGCACGAAATCGAAACATGCACAGGGTATCGACGACCCAGGGATGGCGAGGAGAGCATCGGGGAGGCCCCAAGGCGGCGGGAAGAGCTGGGGACACCCCTGGGCCAGGACCACGCTTCTGCAGCCGAGGTGGATCGGTGTATTGGGTCCTGTGTTTAGCGACCCATTGCGGCCTGCATTCTTACAGTGGAGACCCATGCCAAGAAGCAACATGCTTGCCTCCAGGTTGCCCTGGGTTTCTTGAGTTTCGATGGTTTTGCTGTGGAAGGCGTGACGTTCCCACACCAAAAACCCGTGGACGTCCTTGGGTCTTAGGATTGGGTTTCTTGTGGAAGATTTCTTGTGGACTGGCCTCCACTGTAGCGACCCATGTGAGCGTTTTTTTTAAATCATTGTTTTGCCGATTGGCGCGGGCCCCCCCCCCTCCCCCCCCTCTCCTCCCCCCTCCCCCCCACCCCTCCCCCCACGTGGAGTAGATCTTGGCTGTTTTGGGCGCCTGTTTTTGAGCAGGTGGAGTCTCCCCTCACAGGACCCAGTGCTGCAAGCAGTCGCACTGAGCAGAGGTCCGGAGCCAGACCCCTCCCCCTCTCCACCCTTCCGCCCAATGTCGAAACGCAGAATTTTTAAACAAAAAAAGCGCTCACCATGGCGCTCTGCACTCATATGTGGCCCTCAGAGAGGCCCTCGTGTCCTCTCCAGTCCAGCTCGACCCGAGCGACCTCCGCAGCTGACGGTGGCAGGGGGCCGAGGCAGACGGGCGGGCAGCCCGGCAGAGAGACAGCAGGCAGAGGCGTGCAGAGGCGGGCGGGGGGCAATGGGGCAGGCGGGCCCTCGGAGGCCGTGGCGGGCAGAGAGGACGCGCGTGGACGGGCAGAGAGGGACTCGGCGGGAGGGAGAGAGAGAGAGCGAGAGAGAGAGAGAGGAGGAGAGAGAGAGAGTCTCAGAGGAGGGAGAGATGCCGACACCGCCGCTCGTCCCGGGGGGTGCCTGTGCCTCCACGGCCGGCTCGTCCTCCTCGGAGTGCTGGTCGGAGCGCACCCTGGGAGAGGCCCGGGGAGTGGCGGCATGGGGATCCCTGGGTCCCCCCAAGAGGCAGCCGCAGCCGTGCGGAGACCAAGGGCGCACGGAGACGGACCTGGAGACAGGCGTGGGGGACGCCCAGGCCCCCGACGTCGCGATTTTTTTCTCGACGTGAACCCCGGGAGCCTGGACCCCTTCCTGGAGACCGGGCTTTCATTCAGAGGCGTTTTTGGACGGTCCTGAGGGTAGGGAAGAACCTCCCGCCGCGAATTTTCGTGACGCGAGAGGGTCTGGGGGAGGAGGAGGAGGAGGAGGAGGAGGAGGAGGAGGAGGAGGAGGAGGAGGAGGAGGAGGAGGAGGAGGAGGAGGAGGAGGAGGAGGAGGAGGAGGAGGAGGAGGAGGGGGGCTCGGCCCCGGCCGAGGACGCCACCGGCTTCCGGTGCGCCCACGTGGGGCTGCCCTGGATGATGGAGGGCAACGGGCTGGGCCTGGCAGGAGCGCCCCGGGGGGAGGGGGCCACGGGCCGCTCTCCCCGAGGGCACGGCCGCGATGCATCGCTTGGGTCAAGTCGGGCATGTCTGTCTACAGGAGGAACAACGATTCAAGAACAGTCGGGAAACCGTCTGAGGACGATTGTTCGTGTTCTTTTGGTCATTGTCTGCTTTTCCCCAAAGTCGGGCATGTCTTTCTACAGGACCAGGAAGAGTATAAACTATAAGTGTTCAAGAACAGTATGGAAATTGTCTGAGGACGATTGCTCGCGCTCCTTTTCTGGCTATTGTTTGATTCTTCCTCCACAAATCTGTTGAATCTGTCTTCCAGCATCCGCCGATAGGAAAATATGGGAAATATGGGGAATCCTGTTATTTGTGTGTATTGATTTGTGTGTCCCAGGGCCCCTTCAGTCTCGGGCGGGTGACCTGCATTGGGGGGGGGACCCAGTACGGCGGGGCGAAGAGAGAGGGGCCCCCCAGGGGGCACTTCGGGGCCCCTTTTGGCGCCAGAAAGGGTCCAAAAGGGGCCCAAAAGGGTCCAAAAAGGGCCCCTCTCTTTCCACCCCCATGTGGACCGCCCCCCCATCTACCACCCGCCCGAGATTCGGGGGCCCTTAACGGGGCTCACAGGGCCCCGGGGTCGGCCACGGACCGACGGGGGATGCGGAGCCGGCCCTGGGGCAGCAGCTGCGCCAGAGAGAACTCTAATCAGTGGTCCCCCCACCCCCACAGGGCTCATTCCGACCCCTCCGGTTCGGTTTCGACCCCTGCGGCCCCCAAAAAAGAGGCCTCACCGACGGACCCAGGCCCCAGTGGCAGCACCCACACAACGGCCCCGCAGCATCTCGGTACACCCCTCACGCTTCGTTGCCCCATGCGGGAGCTCCACCGAAGGCCCAAGTGGCAGCGCCCGCGTGACGGCCCCGCCCCATGGTTGGCACACGCCGCCAAGCGTTTCGTGGCCCCATTGGAAGCTTCACCGAAGGCCCCAGTGGCGGCGTCCGCGTGGCTCGACTTGCCTACATGAGCCGAGGATCGATGTGAGAAAGACGGGTAGATATAGTACCTACATACGTAGAGGATATAGTGCCTTCCAATAGTTGCTTGATCGCCCCTTTCCTGTGTATCACCTTCCTGGCGGCACTCGCAGCTGCACATGGTTGTGTCCTTCGTCAGGCTATTTTGTCGGTTCGCCGCGACCGAGGTGTTTGAGTTGTTTCCCCAGAGGCTGACGCTATTGATTATTGTGCGTGTGCGCTTTGGCGCGCGGAGGCTCCAGCTCATCTCACCCATGGACATGTTTCTTCTTGCAACCAGCAGCATGAACATTGCCTCAGTTCACTCGGAGTTGCTCCCCTTTGGGAGTGAGCGGGCATGCCAGGTGGAGGAATGAGCTTGCATCGGTCGTGGCACCGGAGAATTATAGTATGTACCAACTTGCTGTGAAGAAGAGACTCGTGTCACAGTGCCGAGAGACCATACCCCGCCGCCACTCCACCCTTCTGCGACCACTTGCGAAATCTACCCATTGCTCATTTCCAAGCATCCGGAAGTCCTTTGATCTTTGGGGGGCCAAGAGCCTGTCACTTCTAAGTGTTCTGTCCTGGGCCTCTTCCTGGCCACCATGGGGCCACGAACAAGCAGAAACGAGCACGGCTTAGAAGTGAGCACGACAAGAAGTGAGCGACGCGTACCCCCATGTGGGTCCGACCTCAGCGAGCCGGTGCTCGCTTGGCTGCGGGTGCCCCTGCGGGCTCTGACTCTCCTCCGCGGGTGCCTCGGCGGTGGCCTGGCCTGCAGGGGCGGGGCCCGCACGCGACCGCCGAGCCCTGAGATTCACCAGCCTCGAACTGATCCCTATCCCTAAGATTGACACGCTAAGAGGAGATGGCAATCTTAGGGAGACACCCTCAGAGACTGAGGAAATCCCTGAGACCGCCATCTTGATGAGGCGATGCCCAACATAGGGATAGGGATCTGTTCCAGGCTGGTAAGAGATGTTCGTTTCAGGGGGGCCTTCTCTGGGCGTGCACTTTTCGTACGCCAGCGCACTATTTCGCCTGCCGGGTTGTCAGAGCGCATCGTCGATTCCCGGTAGAGAGTCTGCGCAGGTGGCCGCGTGGCTTCTGCATATGATCCGAGCTTGGGGCGCCAGACGCGTATCTGAATGATATGAGAGCTTGGGGCGCCTGACGTGTAAAGAAAAACAACAAGACAAGGCCCACCTAGCGGACCTGTTCGCCTTCAGTTCGACCCCAGGCGCTGGCTCTCCAGTCCAGCTCGAGTCCGCCTCGAGTCGACGGACGCTCGGCGCAGCGCCTCCGCGCGCGATGGGGAGGGAGCGGCTCCGGAATAAGGCCCCCAAGGAGGTGCACCTGGCCCGGCTCCGGTCCCCGCTCTCACCTCCTCCTCCTCCTCCTCCTCCCTCCCTCCCTCCCTCCCTCCCTCCCTCCCTCCCCCTCCCTCCCTCCTCCCTCCTCCCTCCTCCCTCCTCCCTCCTCCCTCCTCCCTCCCTCCTCCTCCTCCTCCTCCTCCTCCCTTCTGCCGAGCTTGCCCCCGTTCACGTCCGTGCGGGTGCTGCTGGGGCGCTGCCGCAGCTCTCGGCGGCTTCTCCCCAGGAGGCCTCGGCTCCGGGCTCGCTCCGCGTCGACGGTGCCGTCGATCGAGTCTGTCCGCTGTCCCCTACCCGGCGTTGCAAAAGAGCTGCGCCGTCGCCAGAAGTCACGAATGGAGCCCTGGACCCCATGCTTCTGCGCTGCAGCAGTTCCCGAGCCGGATCCACCCGCGAGGGTCCCGCAGGACCCGAGACCGGTCGAGCACGCCCCTTGTGCAAGAAATGGCAGCGCCCTGGATCGGAGGCTCCGGTCTCGTGGCCCCCGCGACGCAGGATCCTTAGCGGTCGTGCTGGGCTGCGTGCTGGTGGCCCTCTGCTGCCTCCGCACCGTGCGCTGCAGCGCGCTCGGGGCCCACGCCAGGGCGCTGGCGGCGAGGCTGTCAGGCGCGCCCGGGCGCGGCCGGCAGGGCCGGCGTGCCCGTAGGCAGCAGGCGCACGAAGCGAGAGCTCGGTCTGCCGTCGGGTGCCCCACCACCCCTGAGCTCCTGGCGTCGCAGCGGTGTCCAGTCGGACGCTCCTCGGGGCTGTCGGGCCCTGGGGGGCCCCAACGGCGCGATGCGGCTCGAACACTCGCTTGGGCCGTGAGTTGCCACGATGGTGTTTTCACGCGCGCCCCCCCCCCCCCCTTGGGAGCCCAGCCCGCGAGGGCGCGGCTGTGGAATCCGTGCACCGCTCGCGGGCCGGCTCGGATCGCATCCCTATGCCTATCGTGCGGCATCGCCTGCGGAGTCGAGACGTCGGATCGGATAGGCCCAGGATCGGATAAGCCCAGGATCGGACCGAGTCGGATCGGAGAAACAGCCCTGGGAGAGCCCAGAACTGGATCGATGAGTCGGATCGGCAATCGAGGTAAGTCGGATCGGAGGACATCGGCAGCCGAGTCGGGAGAAGTCGAATCGGCAGAAATCCTCAGGCCAGTAGGCCTCCATTGAGAAATCGGGTCCCAAATCGAAATCCGAAGTCACATCGAATCGGAATCGGAATCCATCGACATGTAACCGGCTCGAATCGGAGGAATCAGCATGGGCCCTGCCTCTACCTCGGTGCCGATCGCGAGGGCCCCCATCAGTTTCTAAGGGCGCGTCCCTCAGATTTGATGGTCCTGTTGTCCACCTCCACCATCAGTTGGACGGGGAGGGGGTCCTTGTCCTCCTCCCCCACCTCCTCCTCCTCCTCCTCCTCCTCCTCCTCGTCCTCCTCCTCCTACTCCTCCTCCTGCTTGTACTCCTCCTCCTCCTCCTCCTCCTCCTCCTCCTCCTCCTCCTCCTCCTCATCCCCCTTCCCCCCATCCAACTTATGGTGGTGGTGGTGGAAAGCAGGCCCCGCAAGGCTGCCATCGCCCTTGGGCCTGCCGAAGGCTCCAAAGGGGGCCCGGTCTCCCCACGTGGCTCGTCGTACGACCCTCAGCAGCCCCCATCCTTCTTCTTCTTCTTCTTCTTCTTCTGCTTCTTCTTCTTCTCCTTCTTCTTTGGGGCGGCGGTCTCCCCACGTGGCTCGTCGTACGACCCTCATCAGCCCCCGTCCAAAAGTAAGCATAAACATAATTATTCTAGGCCTCCTAGATGGGGTCGGAGTAGATGGGGTCGGAGGATCGCGCCGCATCGCCGATGCATCGGCGATGCATCGGCGATGCATCGGCGATGCATCGGCGATGCATCGGCGAAGCGGCTCGATGTGGGGCTCGATTTTCTCCACGCCAACGTCGCCGATGCATCGCTGACGTCGCCAGTGCGTGGCCGATGCATCGCCGATGCATCAGCGATGCATCGTCGATGTATCGGCGATGCGGTGAGATCCCCCGACCCCATCTACTCGGATCCCATCTAGGACCTAGGAGGCCTCTAATTATACACATAAACATTACATGCAGGGGGCATCAAGCAGTAGCAGAAGCAGAAGCATAACATGGACGCGTGAAGTGAAGCATAAACATAAACATCATTCCCCCAGGGGAACGCACCATGGCATAAACATAACAACTCGGAGGTCCGCGCGGATTTCTCGGATCCACGCTGGACACCCTGGCGGCGCTTCCGGCGCCACCCCTGGCCGATCCGAGAAATCCGCGTGGGCCTCCGTGTTTTTATGCTTATGTTATTTAATCGCTTCGCTCATTCCGCCGGCCCGTATTGGTGCACGGCTGTCGAGTGCCCGTGTGATCGTTGTCAATGGGGTGCTGCTGGGACGTTTTTTTGTTTATGGATGGCTAGCTTTGGGTAATTTCGCAGGCGGGAACCATTCTTTGCCCGCCTGAACCTTCTGTTTCGGAAGGTGGCGGCTCGTGAATACGATCGCAGGGAACAAGACAACATTATGCAGTTTCCTTTTTGCATTCTTCGGGCCCCTTGTCGCTTGTTGGGGCCTCTTAGGAGCCTCTTGGGGCGTCCAGGAGGCCTCTTGGAGCGGAAGGCTCGGATTTTCGGTTCGTGGTCTCCATGTTGGGCCCCTCTTGGGGCCTTCTTGGGGTCCTTTTGGACCGTCTTTGGCGCCTCTTGGGCTGTCGTGGGGCCCTCTTGGGCGGTCTTGGGGCTCTCCTGGAGGCATCTTGGGCCTTCTTGGGGTGGTCTTGGAGGCTTCTTGGGCCGTCTTGGAGCGTCGGAAAGGCGAAAAGGCGAGGAAGCCCAAAACCTTGGAAAAAAAAACAATGGAAATCAATGATTTTGACGCTCTGAGGCTTCGTGGACGTTCATTGGGATTTCGTTGGATGCCTCTCGAGGGCTTCTTGGAGACTCTCGGGAGTCGTTGTCGAGCCTCTTGGGGTCTCTTTCGGGCCCCTTGTCGCCTTTGGGGGCCTCTTGGGGGCCTCCTTGGAGCCTCCAGGAGGCCTCTTGGAGCGGAAGGCTCGGATTCTCGGTTCATGGTCTCCATGTTGGGCCCCTCTTGGGGTCCTCTTAGGGTCCTTTTGGACCGTCTTTGGCGCCTCTTGGGCTGTCGTGGGGCCCTCTTGGGCGGTCTTGGGGCTCTCCTGGAGGCCTCTTGGGCCTTCTTGGGGTGGTCTTGGAGGCTTCTTGGGCCGTCTTGGAGCGTCGGAAAGGCGAAAAGGCGAGGAAGCCCAAAACCTTGGAAACAAACAATGGAAATCAATGATTTTGGCCTCTTGGGGCTCTCTTGGAAAGGGTCGGGGCTCTCTTGGGACGTCTTGGAAGCTTCTTGGGCCGTCTTGAGGCCGTGTTGGGCGTCTTGGGCCGATCGTTCGGTGATTCGGAACCCTCTTGGACCGTCTTGGAAGCCTGTTGGGGCCCTCTTGGCGCGCTGCGGGGAGCGTGGAAGGCCGCACCTTGGAGGAAAACCATCTCTGAACTGAGTTTGCCGGGAGTGTCCCGGGACCTTGCCGGGGTACTTTCCGGCCGGGGACCCCCAGGGGCCGCTCCGCGCGCGCGAAGTATAGAGTTATTGCTAACCAGTTACCGGGGATCTGAGCACGCCTCTGGCCCGTTGGGCTGGCGAATTGTTTGTCCCCCCATACTTAGCCCCCTCGGGAGTATCGGACCCTGGACCCGTTCCTGGGTTGCGTTTTGGCCCGCATCGCGAGGGCAGACGTGCCCTCGGCCCAACGCCTGAAGCCTCGAGCCCAGCTCTCCGACGGCGTGCTGCTCTCACGGCCTCTCGCCCAGGTCGGGACCCGATGGCCCTCCCCGCCCGTGCAGGTGCGGTTCCGCCGTCGGAGGCCCGTCGCCGACCTATCGGCGAGGCACCGCCGACTCGAGCGCGAGGTTTGCCCCACTGAGCCGGGCCCTTCCCCGCTGAGGGGGGGGCGACGGCGCCGGCGGAGGAAGCTCCTCCTCCTCCTCCTCCTCCTCCTCCTCCTCCTCCTCCTCCTCCTCCTCCTCCTCCTCCTCCTCCTCCTCCTCCTCCTCCTCCTCCTCCTCCTCCTCCTCCTCCTCCTCCTCCTCCTCCTCCTCCTCCTCCCCCTCCTCCTCCCCTCCTCCTTCCCTCCTCCTCCTCCTCCTCCTCCTCCTCCTACTCCTTCAGAGGTCCGCGGTGCTCGGCTCTAGAGGGTTGCTGTCATCTTTTCTCCAGCCTCGGGGGGGCGGCTTCGGTCCGCAGGAGCCTCCAGCATTGATCCGTGGTGAAAAAACGGCGCCAGGTGGACCTCGGGAGAAGTCCTCGGCCCGATGTGCCAGACTTTCCCGGGGCCCGGCCAGTTCTCGGATCTCCCGGCCGCCTCCAGCTCTCGCCCTGTCCTGAGCCTCGAGACGGGGGTCAAGAATTGGGGGGTCGGTCAGAGCGCCGGATTTTGCAGGATCCTTCAGAGCCAGGGCGCACGGACTCGGGCTTGGGTGCAGGATTCTGCAGGATCTGGTAGAAGGAGCAACAATGACAATTGGTGGACCCCCCCCTCCCGCTCCCCCAAACTCAAAGTCGGCACGCGCGGGGAAGACTGCGGTCGAAGAGCAGCTCGCTCAACCCACCGCCAACGTTGATCATTGGGGGGGGGTATGGACAGGTGATTGCGGCGTAGGTGCTCGCGAATCTCTTCCGAGGCTTGTCTTGCAGGATCTGTGGGAAAAACACACATTGCGGGAAAATGTTGGAAACAAAAACACAGTGTGCGTTTTTGTCCCAACACAGTGTGTGTGTTTTTTCCCTCTGTGTTTTTTCCCACAGGATCTTGCCAAAGCCTGACTGACCTGGGTCTGGACTGCCCCGGGTCAGCAGATCTGCGTTGCATGGCGGCGGGAAGCGCGTTTATTATGTGAGGGCGCGAGGTCGTTGGCTTAGTGTTAAGTCGGGCCTGTCCCCCTACAGGGGGATTTTCGACCGAAAAAATACCCCCAAAATAACCAACAAATAGTCCAACAATAGTCTGGGGACAATGTTTTGAGTATGTTTTGACTTGTTTGGGGTATTTTAAACGTATTTTTCATTATTCGTCGAAAATCCCCCTGTAGGGGGACAGGCCCGACATAAGCTTAGTGTCTTGGATCGCTGTTGGTGTTAAGGCTTCGGTGCGACATACAACATCTAGCAACCGACCTTGCGAACATCGGCAACTGTTGCATGTCCGTGCCTTCCTGGGGTCCTGCTGGTGCTCTTTGGGACCGTCCTGGGGCCCTCTGGGGCCGTCCCTGGGCCCTCTTGGGCCCTTTGGTGGGGCCGTCTTGGGCCCTTTTGGAGCCGTCTCGGGCCCTCAGGAGCCGTCTTGGGGCCCTCGGGGCCGTCTTGAAACCTTCCTGGGCCGTCGTGGCAGACCTGGGCCAGGAGATTCCCGACCCTCGCTCACCAGCCTCGAACTTATCCCTATCCCTATGGTTGACACGCCAAAAGGCGATGACAATCTTAGGGATGCGGCCTGAAAAACTAAGGGAGTCCCTGAGATTGGCATTGAGATGAGGCGATGTCCAGTTTAGGGATACATCGCCGTGACGAGAGTTTCTTTCAATTTGCCTTTTGGAATGACGCGCTCGTGCGGAGTAGTTCGGAGTAGTTTTACTAAAACTACTCCGCGCGCAATCGCATCCCGCTCGAAAACTTATATGGTTTGGCGCGGAGTAGTTTCCGATCCCGTTTTGGGGTAACAGAGTTCTTGACGTCTCCGGGATCGGAAACTACTCCGCCGAATGATCCCAGCATCATGTCATGTTAGGAATCTTGAGAGGGATGGGAGAGATCTTCACCATAGCAAATTGAAGACACTTTTGTCACTGCTGTGTAGGGATCTGCCCCAGGCTGGTAACTCGCAGTGCGCTGCCTCTCTGCTCTCTCCACCCCCCTCCCACGAGGCGTGCGGTCGGCGGCCAGCGCGAGGGCGTCGGCGCTGCTGCGGCGGCCGTCGGGGCGCCCGCGGGGCGGGATGAGGAGGAGGAGGAGGACGAGGAGGAGGGAGGAGGAGGAGGAGGAGGAGGAGGAGGAGGAGGAGGAGGAGGAGGAAGGGAGGGAGAAGAGGAGAGGAGGATAGGAGGAGGAGGAGGAGGAGGAGGAGGAGGAGGAGAGGATGAGGATGGAGGAGAAAGAGGAGGAGGAGGAGGAGGAGGACGAGGAGAATGAGGAGGACGAGGAGAAGGAGGAGGAGGAGGAGGACGAGGAAGATTTTGATGACGTTTTGGGCGTCGTGAGCACAGCGTGCAGACACAGGAGGAGCGGGGGGACGGCGGAGTTCATCCCGGTGTGCCGAGCCCGTGGTGCTTTCGGCTGGGGCTAGAAGGCACTCCCAGCTCTTCACCCCCTCCCGACGGGGTGCGGGGAGGAGAAGCCGCAATTGGTTGGGAGGACAACTGTTTGTGATGGCCTGGCGGAATAGGATCTCCATGGCACTGGGGAGCAAAGGGAAGTCACAGACAGCCGCTTTCGGATGTTCGGCGATGCACCCAACCCCGCCCGTGGCGGGCGAAGATCACCTCGGGGCGGCGGCGCCTGCGGCACGGGCAGACCGGGTCAGGGCCGGCCCGAGGAAGCCGCCCAGACTTCGGATTGTTGACGCTTGCGTGCAGTGGAGGCCCATGCCAAGAAACACCCTGCTTGCCTCCAGGGTGCCCTGGGTTTCTTCGGCTTCGATGGTTTTGCAGTGGAAAGCGTGGCGTTCCCACACCGAAAATCGATGGACGTCCTGGGGTCTCAGGGTTGGCCTTCCAGGCTGGGGCGCTTGCCCCAAGGAGCGCAGTATCGAGCTGCCGTCCCGCGCCCTGGCCCACCATCTCCGGCGCGACACGGTAACCGCCTCCACTTGCAGGCGTCCACGTCCCGACATGTTCCCCGCCTCCCGCCCCGCAGAGCGGCGCAGCACGCCATGAGCTCGAAGAACATGGCGGACGGCGCGTCGCCAGGGCCGCCGCCGCGACACGCCAGGCAGAAGTGCCCCTCCGCAGACCATAGTGCCGCCCGTCCTTGGCGGCCGACGCGGCGAGAGGCGGCCCGTTCGACAGCCTCGAAGCGGAGGGGGAGGCCGAGTATATTCCGAGGTCCTCCGGGCCCACTGCCAGAGCACCCCCTGGCAGGGCAGGGCCTCGGGTGCGAAGCGCTGGCCCACAGAGCTCGGGCACAAAAGTGGAGTCACCGAGCGCGTTCCACTACTCGCAAGAAGTGCCTATTTGCAGACGTCGGACAAACGGGTGCCTGCCTCCATGTCATGGCTCGTGAGTCCCCAGCGGCGGCGCCGGGCAAATTTTGCGAGGAGCTACTCTGCGAGTCGTGGAACGCGCTCGTCGAGCTGCGGAGGGGGCGGAGGAAACGGCGGAGGGGCAGCCGGGAGGCGCAGGGCAGGGTGATCGCTTGCTCTGCGCAGCGCCCCCGGCACCCCCGCCCGGGGCTGCGGCGCGCGGGGGGGGTGAGCCGCGGGGCCCCCCGTGAGGGGCGCGGGTGCGGCGCGCCCGTGCCGTGCCGTGCAGCGCCTGCCCCGACGTGTCCAGAGGTTGGTCTCGGCCCCGCCTGGGTTAGGGGGCCACTTGCGAACCCTACCCCTACCCCCCACGATCTCTGAGGGGGAAGGTGGGGTTCACTTCCTTCGGGAGCTCTCCCGAGCGAAGTGAGCCCCACCCTCCCCCTCAGAAGTCGTGGGGGGCGGGGGCAGGGTGCGCATGTGGCCCCCCATGGGTGGCCGCGTTGTATGCCAAGGGGATTCCTACCCTGACCTTCCAGAGTGCTAACAAATGGCACTCCATACCTATAGATCTATCTGGACTGCCTCAAACCTCGACAGGAATTAGGACGTCGACGTCCTGGTGTTTTTTTCAGCCATTCTGGCAGATAAGGGTAGGAGGTGATGCGTGGATGTGAAGGTGGGCTCTATCTGATGCAGAAGGTCGCATTCGCGAGCGCACGTTTGCTAAAAGAGGGTTCTGTGTTCTGTCCACCTCCGCCGCAAGACACCCGAAGATGCTTCGTTCCATGCGCGTCCCCAGAGAGGACCGAACCCCTTTCCCGGGGCCGCTTCTTGCACCAAGGATTCACGTATGATGGCCCCGGGGCCCAGAAACAGGTACCTCTTGATTGACCGGGGTGGTTGCTATGGGGATCTTGGTTTATACGTGGATGCGACGGTGTGTTATACCTGGCCTAACCTAACGTACAAGCGGGTTACACATGCCCGAAGTGGCTTGAAAGGGTCAGGTAATTCACGGAAGTGGGCTCCGCCCACTTAGCCTAGATTTCTGCCCCCCGTAAGCCGCTTAGGGCACTTGCAGCCTATTGCCATTCACAAGACAAGTTGGGCCATGTAGAACTTACCTTAGAATCCACTTCGCCCCCCCCACCCCACCCTATCCTCGGCGGCGAGCTAGGGGGGAAGTGAGAAGTTTCTCGTGTCCTATGGGAAGCTTTAAAGAAACTCTCAGAAGGCCGGGGAGCTTCCGAGCCTGCTGAGAAGGCCCGCCCCGTCTCGCTTTCCCCCCGAGCTCGCTGCCGACATCCCGGAGCAGCCATCGCGGCCATCAAGGTGCCAAGTAACATATCAGGACGAAGCATGTCTGGGTCGAGGAGGAGGAGGAGGAGGAGGAGGAGGAGGAGTGGGCCCCTATCGCGCCGTGAGAGCAGCAACAACAACAACAACCACAACAACAACAACAACAACAACAATCATTTTACCCGAACGCTCAGTGTTCTCACCAGTGCCAGGGTTTTCATGCGACGCGAGACAATACCCCCACTTCGTGGGGGGGCAGTTCAAGCTCTACCAAATATCCAAACGACTCTTCGCGACCACCCAAACCCAGCTTCCCGCCCTATGACGTTGGGACACTTCACTTCGTGGCGTGCGGACGACCGTGGCTACTACACTGGCGTGGGGTACACACCCACAGAACTTGGTCACTTATTCGGGGCGCGCGTGTGCCCAGCATCCTGCAATTGTGACATACAATACATGACACAGACAGACAGAGAGAGAGACAGAGAGCAGACAGAGAGAGAGACAGAGAGAGCGGAGTTGGTCACATTTTTGGGGCAAGTTCCTGAGATCGTCGTGTTTTTTGTTGGTCTTGCGCGCGCGAATGTCCACTTTACTTTTTTTTGCAAGGGATGTTGAAATTTGATTATGTAAGAACAAGAAAAAGTAGCTCGCGCGAGCTTATGTAACATAAATGTTGAAAAACCATTGGTTTTGTGGGAGTCGGACAGCGCGCGCGGGATGAAATTTGGACATTTTTTTTTGAAAAACCATTGGCTTTTTGATGTTTTTATGTTGAAATCGTTACGAAACCTAAGGTTCTGGAAGGATTTCGTCTTGCGCGCGCGAATGTCCACTTTACCTTATTTTTTGCAAGGGATTATTGAAATTTGATTATGTTAGAACAAGAAAAAGTAGCTCGCGCGAGCTCATGTAACATAAATGTTGAAAAACCATTGGTTTTGTAGGATTCGGACAGCGCGCGCGGAAGGACATTTTGACAATTTTTTCTTAAAAAACCATTGGGTTTTTGATGTTTTTATGTTAAAAACGAAACCTAAGGTTTTGGAAGGATTTCGTCTTGCGCGCACGAATGTCCACTTTACCTTATTTTTTGCAAGGGATTCTTGCAATTTGATCAAGTAAGAACAAGAATTTTCATTTTATAGTGTTTTTTGCAAGGGAAAACGGGGGGGAACAAAACAACCGGATCCGGACACAATCCACTTTTCTGAAGCTTCTGCGAAAAAATGATGAAAATGTAGCTGCGGCCTAGGTTTTGGAGGGGGGTCGTGCACCAGGGGTCCCAACAATAATTATTCTTTAGAAGTAATAATGTTCAACAAATCACTTTACCCGAACGCTCAGTGTTCTCACCAGTGCCAGGGTTTTCATGCGACGCCAGCCAATACCCCCACTTTGTGGGGGGGCAGTGCAAGCTCTACCAAATATCCACACGACTCTTCGCCACCACCCACACCCAGCTTCCCGCCCTATGACGTTCGGACACTTCACTTCGTGGCCTGCGGACGACCGTGGCTACTACACTGGCGTGGAGTACACACCCACAGAAGTTGTTAGGACAGCGCGCGCGGGTAGAAATTTTGAAAAGTCGTGCAGGTGTTTTTCGAGGACCTACGGTGCGATTCGTGTGATTTTATGATGCGCGGTGCTAAAATTCTTAAGAAGCCCAATGGTTTTTGGAGATTTCGGCGTGCGCGCGCGAAGAAAAAACGAATGTGTCCCGCATGGTATTATTTGACAGGGATGATGGCCCTGGCAGGTGCGCAACCGTTGTCGCAGAAGTTCGAAAAAGTTGCTCGCAAAAGCCCGTTTGACAGAAATGTTTAAAAAGTGTTGGGTTTCCTACGAATCCGCAAGAGCGCGCGGGATGAGATTTTGACATTTTTTTGTTGAAAAACCATTAGTTTTTTGATGTTTTTATGTTGAAATCGCTCCGAACACTAAGCTTTTGGAAGGATTTCGTCTTGCGCGCGCGAATGTCCACTTTACCTTATTTTTTGCAAAGGATTCTTGAAATTTGATTATATTAGAACAAGAAATGTCATTTTATAGTGTTTTTTGCAAGGGAAAGCGGGGGGGAACAAAACAACCGGATCTTGATCACATCGAATTACCTGAGGCTTCCTCACGAAAATGATGAAAATGTAGCTGCGGCCTAGGCGGCGCAGGGGGGCCGTGCACCAGGGGTCCCAACAATAATTATTCTTTAGAATTAATAATGTTCAACAACAACAACAACAACAACAACAACAACAACAACAACAACAACAACAACAACAACAACAACAACAACAACAACAACAATCACTTTACCCGAACGCTCAGTGTTCTCACCAGTGCCAGGGTTTTCATGCGACGCCAGCCAATACCCCCACTTTGTGGGGGGGCAGTGCAAGCTCTACCAAATATCCACACGACTCTTCGCCACCACCCACACCCAGCTTCCCGCCCTATGACGTTCGGACACTTCACTTCGTGGCCTGCGGACGACCGTGGCTACTACACTGGCGTGGAGTACACACCCACAGAAGTTGTTAAGCCTACGTTCGTACACCCACAGAAGTTGTTAAGCCTTGTTAACCCACAGAAGTTGTTAAGCCTTCCACAGAACATCTGTTGCATATGATGCATATGGTACATGATACACATGATACACATGATACGTACTCACAAGATAGTTGATCACATCTTTAGGGCAAATTCCTGAGGGATGTGGGAATACACACAGAGAGAGAGGATATGGTTGTCCCGATGGTTGTCTCGATGGTTGTCCCGATGGTTGTCCTGATGGTTGTGGTTGTCCCGATCGTTGTCCCGATGATTGTCCCGATGGTTGTCCTGATGGTTGTGCTTGTCCCGATCGTTGTCCCGTTTTTGGAGATTTCGGCGTGCGCGCGCGAAGAAAAAAACGAATGTGTCCCGCATGGTATTATTTGACAGGGATGATGGCCCTGGCAGGTGCGCAACCGTTGTCGCAGAAGTTCGAAAAAGTTGCTCGCAAAAGCCCGTTTGACAGAAATGTTTAAAAAGTGTTGGGTTTCCTACGAATCCGCAAGAGCGCGCGGGATGAGATTTTGACAATTTTTTGTTGAAAAACCATTGGTTTTTTGATGTTTTTATGTTAAAATCGCTGCGAACACTAAGGTTTTGGAAGGATTTCGTCTTGCGCGCGCGAATGTCCACTTTACCTTATTTTTTGCAAGGGATTCTTGAAATTTGATTATATTAGAACAAGAAATGTCATTTTCTATTGTTTTTTGCAAGGGAAAGCGGATTACAACAAAACAACCGGATCCTGTACACACCCTCTTTTCTGAGGCTTCCTCACGAAAATGATGAAAATGTAGCTGCGGCCTAGGCGGCGCAGGGGGGGCGCGCACCAGGGGGCCCAACAATAATTATTCTTTAGAATAAATAATGTTCAACAAGGGGGTCCGTGCTGTGAACAGGTCACTGTGTCAGGGGTTCCCCCAGGTCTACTTCCTCCTTCCTCCTCCTCCTCCCTCCTCCTCGTCTTCCTCCTCCTCCGCCTTCCTCCTCTGCCTCCTCCGTCTCCTCCTCTTCCTCCTCCCGCCTCCTCCTCCTCCTCCTCATTGGGGGTACGGCAGATGCTTGCCCTGTCGACGGGCGACGCGGCGGCGGCCCCCCCTCGGCCTGGAGCCAGTCGCAATCGATTTTATCGGCGCTCTCTCAGAGCGGCGATCACCCAAAAGGTCCGTCGACGCGCTAACGGAAATGTAGGCAACGGCGATATAGGCCTCGGCGTTGTAGGTGGGACTGGTGCGGGGCCGAACCAATTGCATGGCATCGTTGTTCGTGCTCTCCTGCAGTTCGCTGCGTCGCTCTGGCTCGAGACGTTTGCACATTTAAAATGTAGGGAAGTGTGGTTCGTGATTTCCAACAATTTGTTCTGCGCGAGCTCGGTCTCACAACACTAGTCCGAACATCGCCGTTCACCAACATCGCCGTTGGCGCGGTCTTGGAAGGTGGACCGATGCACGCGGTGTCAGAAACCAGCGCGCAAGTCGTCGGAAACGAACCTCCGGTGCGTCTTCGGCAGAGGCACAGCTCCCAGACTGCCGATGGCGCGGTGCTTTCGGTGCGGGCGTCTGGTTTTCGACCCGGCGACCTGGTGCGAGCCCTTGGGTGGAAAGCCCGGAGCAGGCTTCGAGCAACAGCGCGATGTCTGGGGTCTGTTCGTTAGGGTTGAATCGGGCATATGCCTCTACAGGATGAGTATTCTTAAATTGTTAAAATAGCCAGGGGATGGTGTCTCCATTATTTGTTCACGATGTTTGAGTATTTGTTTACTGGTTTGTAGCATTCGACCAATATCCGCCTGTAGGAGGACATGCCCGACCTAACACTGGGGTGGGGCCAGGGACTCGAGAGCCCACCTCTCCCTCCTCCCGAGAAGGAGAAAGGAGGACGACCACGACGGACGACCACGAGAAAGAGGGCCGGGAGGACAAGGCGTGGGAGGAGGGAGGAGGATCCTGCGGATTGTCGGGGGAGGGAGGGACCAGGAGGGGCGAGGGCGAGGAGGGACGAGGAGGAGGAGGGGGAGGGGGAGGGGCAGGAGGAGGAGGAGGAGGACGAGGAAGGAGGACGAGGAGGAGGGACGGGGAGGAGGAGGAGGAGGAGGAGGAGGAGGAGGAGGAGGAGGAGCAGGAGGAGGAGGAGGACGACGACGAGCAGGAGGACGAGGAGGTACGAGGAGGGACGAGGAGGGGAGGGAGGGAGGGACGAGGAGGGGAGGGAGGGAGGGACGAGGAGGGACGAGGAGGGACGAGGATGCGGGACCATGGAGGGCGGCGCGGGGGCTGGCGACGGGTCCCGCTTCCAGGAGGCGTCGACGCGCCCTGCGGCCAGATCGGGCGGCACTGGCCGCATATGTTTCGGGGGGGGGCCTTCCGATGCGTGTCTCGTGGCGTCCACGCTTTGCGATCCACGTCAGCGTGTGCCCGACAGGGAGGCAGACGGAGCAGGAGGAGGAGAAGGAGGAGGAGGAGGAGGAGTACTACAGTACTCAAGCCCTTCAAGACCATCCTCTGACTCTTGTACTCTGGCTCGGGCTGGCAGCTGGGGCTCGATAGACATTGCTACGCCACCCATTCCATCATAGGAGGAGGAGGAGGGAGGAGAAGGAGGAGCAGGCGGCGGCGGAAAAGTGGGCACGAGAGGGCGTGGACAGATGCAGGACCCCGCAACTGCGGGTCAGAGTGAGCGGGTCGCGGGGGACTCGCGCTTGGGTCGTCGCGTGTGGGTCGCGGGGTGAATCAACGACTACAGCAGACAAAGAGCAAGCAGAATCCGCGCCAGTGAACCCACGCACCCAGGGATGGTGTAAGACCGTTTGCCCCCTCACTCTCCCCAGATCTAGCGTTGCAGAACAGCTTCAACATCGCAGCAATGATCACCACCGCGGCCCTGGACCCCGTCTTCCCGCGGCAGGTCTCCATCGATTTGTGAGGGAGTCCCAGGGCCCAGGATTATGCGGATTCGCCCGGTTGTGAAGCCAATGCGACGCCAGGATCTTTGGTTAAGACCGTTCGGCACCCTTCGCTCTGACAAACAACAGGCAGCGCTCTTTTGATAGTAAGCCACGGAAGCTTGCGCGCGTCTTGCATGGAATGTATATCGGCGAATCGTGTCCAATAGTGGAGAATAGAGCTTCCGTGAGCTGCCGTCCAACGTTCGGGCCCCGCCAGCGCACCGCCGCAGGCGCCCCCGCGTCCGCGGTGGTGGCCGCCAGCACGCCCGCGAGCTGCGGGCGCAGCTGGCGCAGCTCGGGCCCGTGGGCGCGCTGGACGGAGAGGGCGGCGGCGCAGCGGCGGACGAGGTCGGTGGGCAACCTCAAGGGGGGCAGCTTCGAGGTCTTCGGGCTCGAGGTGCGTCGGGCGAACCCAGGCGGTGTGGTGAGCCACTCGGGGGACTCGGGGCTCGCGCGCGGCTCTGGGGCTCGTCTCGGGCGGTTCTCCGAGGAGGCCTCGAGCAGCTGGGGCCTCCGGGGGCCCAGGCCGTGCGGGGACGGGCCGCGCGGTGTCTCGAGGTCACCGCGCGGTCTGTCACCACGCGGTTTGGGGACCCCGAAGGTTCAGGTTTTCGGGCGTTTTCGGACGCTTACCCGGTCCCCCGATGCTCGCCGCCTTCCGCCGAGAGCGCTCCTGGAGTGGCTGGGTCGTCCCGAGCGGCGCCAGAGACCAGAGTTCTGATTCGTTCCACGGATTACCAGGGCAACGCTAGAGGGGGGAGGGGGGGATCTAGGCCCCCGGGGGGTGAAAGATCTGCCCCTGGATGGCCCCTGGAACGCCGACGGGCGCCCGATGTAACCCACACCCCGCCCCGGGCCGCCCGGTGTCGCCGTCGGCGGGGGCTTCTCGCTGACTGATCGGCGATGCGTCCCCGGTTCCGGCTCGATGCCTTCAAGCTGATTTTTCGGCCAAAGCGTGACCCTTCGCCGGCGTGACCTTTTTTTCTACGGGCCCACAGGGGTCCCTCCCGGCGGTGGTCTGCGCGCATGGATGTCGGTCCCACAACGCCGAGCACCAGAGGTTACTCCTGTCCACAGGGCCGTTCTTGCGTGTAGCCGACCTCTAAGCCGGTCCCCCACCTGACCTTCTCCCCTACGAACTGGGGCATTGTAGGAGGATCATCCCAGAGTATGGTCAGTCAACGAACCCAGCTGGATGCTCGCAATTCCTTCATCCAGGGTCCATGTAGATCGACTTTCCTCTAACCCTGCGGGCAAGACTTCTGGCCATATCCCCTGCAGCTTGGAGTTTCGGGTTTCATTCTCCAGAAACCCGAGGCTTACTGGACATGGATAAACACCTTGCCCCTAGAGGCTCGATGTTTATCCACATCCTGTGCGCCTCGGTCTCGCGGCGCCCCTTCTTCCAAGAGAGTCGGAGACGCACTGGATATGGATAAAGGCATCGTCCGCGAGCGCCATCGGAAGAGGAGGAGGAGAAAAAGAAGGAGGAGGAGGGGGAGGAGGAGGAGGACGAGGAGGAGGAGGAGGAGGAGAGAGGAGAGACGAGGACGACGAGGACGAGGAGAAGGTGAGGAGGAGGAGGAGAGGAGGAGGGGAGGAGGAGAAGGAGGAGGAGGAGGAGGAGGAGGAGGGGAGGAGGGGGGGAGGAGGAGGAGGGGTCGACGAGGAGGAGGGAGGAGGAGGAGGAGGAGGAGGAGGAGGAAGAGGAGGAGGAGGAGGAGCTGGAGGAGAAGGAGGAGGAGGAGGAGGAGGAGGAGGAGGAGGAGGAGGAGGAGCATCCCGCCCTCCCACGCGAGGGCCGCGCGCCCGGCCCGGCAGCGCCGCCGGCGCCCGGGCCGCCCGCGGAGCCGCAGGCCGCGGGGGGGGAGGCGCCTCGCGGGCGCTGAGGCGCCGGCCTCCGGAGGCCCTCGTCGGAGGTCCGCGCGCGCGCCGCGGCCTCTCGAGCTGCAGCTCGGGGAGCTAAGAGCATGACGGAAGCACGGCAGCTCGGAGGTCCGCGCGGAGGTCTCGGCGCGGCGCCGGACCCCCCTTGGCGTCAGCGCGTGCCCTTTGTTGTTTGTCCGTACCAGCTCCGGGCGTCCGAGTGAAGCAGACGGAGGCGGGACTTGAGGCTCGGAGGGTGTCGTGTCCTAACGGCGTATACGGGGTCCTATGGCGCGGAGTGCTCGGCCTCCGCCCTGGGCTCATTCAAAAGCCTGGGCCTCTGCCTCTCCCGACGGAGGGCCGCGGCCGTATATGTGCGGGCGGACCCTCCGCGGGGGCCCCCGGGGACGGCCAGGCACCGACCCAGGAGGAGGAGGAGGAGGAGGGGGAGGAGGAGGAGGAGGAGGAGGAGGAGGAGGAGGAGGAGGGGGATGATGAGGAGGAGGAGGAGGAGGAGGAGGAGGAGAGGAGGAGGAGGAGGGAGGAGGAGGAGGAGGAGGGGGGGGGAGGGGGAGGGGGAGGGGGAGGAGGGAGGAGGAGGAGGAGGAGGGAGGAGGAGGAGGAGGAGGACAAGGAGGAGGAGGAGGATGAGGAGGAGGAGGAGGAGGAGGAGGAGGGGGAGAAGGAGGAGGAGGAGGAGGAGGAGGTCCGTTGCCATTTTGGCTCGAGTCTAAACGTAACGAAGGGTGAAGCACCCGAGGTGTTGCGATTAGATTTGGCCCGTCCGTCCTCGTTTCTCGAGAGGGATAGGGTACACTCAATCATCTCTGTTGTGAGCCTGCCCTGGCCGCAGCAGTCTCTTTCACGCTTTGCACAACGCCGTTTCGGCCCTCTTTCCTGCCCGCGAGAGCCCCCCCCTGGGGGCCTGCCGATGCCCGAGTCTGCCCGCGATGCGCGTGGTGGCAAGCCAGCGGCCGCGCCTGCTCCTGGACCAGCCGCTGCCCGCCAAGGTCAAGAGCGGGGGGGGGGCCGTGGGTCGGGTGATACACGTTCACGATCGGGTGGAGAGGGTTCTCGTACCTCGCCAGGTCCACGCCACGTGCCTGGGCAGGGCTCACTGCGTCGTCCTGCTGCTGGTGCTCGCTCTGCTGATCCTCTTCAAGGCTCAGCTGACCAATGGGCGGGATCTTCGGCTTCAAACCTTGCGAGCCGAGGCCAAGCTGGAAGCAGTGACAGCTCATCGGTCATCTCGCGGGGTGCCATCGACGAAATGCTGGTGGCATTCAAGAATGACATGGAGCGGTCCTTCGACACGCGCATGGATGAGACAAAGAATAGATCATCGCTGATATCAATGGTCACACAGTGCAGCTTGTCAAAGCCGTAAGTGAGCGTCAAGATAAGGTCAACACACATGTTGGGGGTGAATTGGATGAATTACGTACGCGGCAATCAACTCTCGAAGTCCAGCAACAGCAAGTGCGCACGGAGATGGAGGAGCTCAGACGTCAGCTCCACATTGCCGAGACGACGGTCCCGATCAAAGACTTCGGCAGTGTGATGGAGCGGGACAGGGATTTAGACGGCTCGATTTTCTTGGCGAACACAGAGTCTAACGTTACTATCGGGAGTATCAAGAACCAGCTCAAGGGCTGGATGGAGGAAGCAGGTTTCGAGGAACACCATTGGTCGGTCATCGGTGACACGCCAGGCAGGATATTCAAAGTGCAGATGTCGGGTGACGCGAATGCGGCTATGCGGAAGGTCAAACAGACACAACGCTATCTCAGGCAGGACGGTGAGTGGAGGCAGTTCAGCACGCCTACGATTGAAGGGGGCCAGTCCAGGATCTTTGTTGGGCTGGTCAAGAGTGACAAAATGGTGCGACGCGAAATCCAAACTAAGAAAATGGCTGGCCTGGTTCGTGAACTACTTCCGAATGCACGAGTCAGACATGATCGGACGAAAGGAATCATATTCTTGGAAGGCGCGCCGTGTGTTCAGCTCGATGTTGGCCAAGAAAAAGATGACCCGACCAAGCCCCTTTGGAATTATGCGGTGGTTGGTTCGCAAAAATGTGGGTAAGGGCGCCCTTCTGGCGAGGTTCAACGGTATCTTTCACGCGGCGGAGGAGATACGGTGACATATTTAACAGTACACTGCAGCCGTGGCATGAGGATCTCTCCTTTCTCTCCTCTGTTGTCCCTTCCTTTATCACCTGGAACACTCGCGCTCTTCTGCATCACCCCCCCATCCACTGGTAAGCTCAAATGTGCGCGGCTGGCGGAGATGATCCGTCCACGCACTATGATTGCGTTGCAGGAGACGCATGGTGCAGCGGAGGAGCTGAGACACCATATATACTTGGCTCACAAGAAATCGGCGGCGTTTGCTTCAGCACCGAGACATGATGCTGGCGGGGTTGCGATCCTTCTTCATGGTTTGTCTCAGTGCGAGGCGAACAAGGCGATGGGGGAGGGACGTATCCGTCACAGTGTGAGTGTACCTGGATATTTGCAGAGATTACAGGTTATGGCGCGGCCTCAAGTTCGAATGGCACACGCAGGCAGGATTCTACGATGGTGGTTTACAACATGCACAATTTTGGGTTGGATGAGGCGACGGCCCAGACATTGACGAGGAGAATCGCGACGGAGGCAGATACTGCTGCGGGGAACCCTCATCGGTCGACGGCCACGCTGATGGGCGACTTCAACTTCCATGAGAAGGCTGCGATGTATATTGCGACGCCTGAGATCGACAAGGGGTTGCTCAAGCAGATGCGGCACAGAGAGAGAGGTGAGCAATGGCTGGATGCTCTGGCGGGCCTAGTGGAGCTGGACCCTGAGCAGCCCACACACTACGTGGCGGATGGCGAGAGGCTTTCGCAGTTGGACAAGGTGTTCATCTCGGCCCCTGGCTGGCTGCTCCTCGGCTGGACCACGTCGGTGACGGCGCTGGACAGGCCAGAGGAGCTCTTCGGCCGCGGCATGTCTGATTACGCACCTGCGCGCGTGACCGTTGCCTCTCGCCCGCCGCGCCCGTTGCATGAGCAGCCAATCCCACGCCATTCGTGTTGCTCCCCTGCCTTCTCGAAATTCCTCTCGCCCTTGATTTCCCGCTCTCCCTTTTTCCCTCTCCCCACCATAGCCAGATGGCGAGAATGCAAGCGACTCCTTCGGGAAGCGGCCCGCATGACAAGGGATTCTTTGATAAAACAACAGGCTCCTGAGTTGGAGACGGAAATCATGATTTTCCGCTCAATTGCCCGTGCAGTGAATTTGAATGATGCACGCCTGGCCTCCAAGTTGCTTGCGACTGTCCCTGCAGCCGCCGAACACGTGTTGCTGGAGAATGAGGGTCTCGTCGTTCTTAGGTCTGCGATCGTCTTTCGTCGGCAATATGAAGAACTCCAGCAGCGACGCGTCGAGCGCAGGCTGGCAGAAGCCGAGACAGCAATGACATCATCTGAGGCAATGAAGGAGCGCAAGCGTTTAAGGGCTTATATGTACGCGGAGCGTAGAAGGGCCAAACTTTGGGCCCCGTCGAGGAAGGCTCTCCCTCTTCAGGCTCTGGTGAGCCCTGTCGGCGCCGTTGCATCGAATGCGCAGGAGATGGCATCGGAGCTGCATCGACTCTGGGCCCCGGTTTTTGCTTGGAAGCAGGTTCCTGTCAAGCACGTTCGTAGGTATCTTCAAAAGCATGCTCGACCCCTTGACTCGTCCGAGGTCTCGGCCCCAACCGCCTCGCAGATTCGGGGGGCGCTCGCCAGGGCCGAACCTACGGCGCCAGGGCCAGACGGACTCCCTCGCGCAGGCTGGCAGCAGCATTCGCTGTCGGCTGAGGTTCGATACGACCTCCTCCTTCACCTCCAGGCTGCCCCCCCCCCCCCCCCCCACCCCCACCCCCACCCACCCACACACCCACTGGCATGAATGGTATTCTTTTAGTTTTTTGCGCCAAAGGGCAAGCGTGAGGATGACAGTCAGGGCGTGGTGCGTGAGGCTGCTTCCACACGTCCCCTGGCGCTCAAGAATGCAGATGTGAAAGTGCTTTCGTCGGCGTGTAATTTCCAGTTCAAGAAGATGCTAAGTTCGCAGGCGCAGAAGGACCAGAAAGGATTTCTGATCGGGCGGAACTTTTTAGATAACATCACCCTCCTGGACACCACTTCCAGGATCCTAGGGATGCCCGACCAGGCCAGGGAGCGCCACCCCATCCTCTTCCTCTCTGACTTCGGCAACGCCTTTCCCTCCCTCGCTCACATCTTCCTCTGGGAAGTCATTCCCTTCCTTGCGATGCCGACTGGTTTCATGTTTTTCCAGGCGTCGTATGCATTCGCGTGCGCGAAGGCCCCTCTCTTGGGGCAACTCCTGGATTTCGGCGTGCGGGCGACGTGGGCTTGGCTTTGTCAGAGGTCAAGGCACTCAAGAGAGTACGCGGTGTTTTTTATGCAGCGGAGGTCCTTGCGGGTCTCCAATTGAAAACACCAGAGTGCTGCATCGTTCCCCTGGAGGCAGAGTTCTCACCGTTCCTGCAACAAACAGATAGAAGCTCTGCTTGAGATGTATGTCCCGAGCTGGAAAAAGATCCCTGTGCCGCCGATGGCAGAATACCTTGGGGTGTGGATCGGCCCTGCTGCGAACAATGAGATGTGGGCGAGGATGTTTCGGGAGTGGGTGGAGGTGGTGAATGCTATCACGAAGCAGCAGGCCGCCCCCTCGGTGGCGATCCAGCTGTATAACTCTCGCGCCATCTCCAAATTCCCCTACCTCTGTCAACTTGCCCCCCCTCCCGAAGCAGATTGCGCGCTGGGGGTCCTGGGCTCTTCACCGTGTCCTTCACCTCCCCTCTTGCACGTTCCCTCTTGCTGACCTCCTTGCTCTCAGGACATGGGCCAAGGTGCGCCCACTCTCGCTTCAGGTTCAGGGAACTGCAACGCTCTGGAGGGCGGCCTTTCAGACTATCTTGAACTGGAGGCCTCTCTTCCTGCGAATGCAGCAGCAGGCCAAGCGATTCTTGCCATGCGCACACTGGGCGGCAAATCATTGGTCGCCCCCATTTTGGAAGAGACGACCGTTTGTGCAAGAGCTTGCGTTGGCCGGGTCGGGTTTCAAGGAGTGTGATCGGCTTCGGGAACCGTTCATCCTAGCCAGAAAGGCTCTCGCGGAGGCGCAGCTTGTGAAACCGCGGGTCCAGGTCCAGCGAGTTTTCGGTCGCCCCCTGGGTGCTGCTCTCTTTCAAGACAATTTTGGGGACACCATCAAGCGTAGGATTGCATCATGGGCCACGTGGCCACGGACAGCTCCTGCTCTGAAAGCCATCGATTGGTTTGCTCTCCGCGCTCGTCTATTGCAAGCGCCACCACCGTGGCAGATGTGCATTGTCAAGACTCTGGCGGGTGGGTGGGTGATGGAGAGGAGGATGTCGCAGAAGCATTGCCAGTGTATTTTTTGATGTTTGGAGGAAGAGGCCTCGGACAGGCAGGCTCACTACATGTGCTGTCCCAGGTTGTGGGCCGCGATCACTGCCGCCTGGTATCCCGAGGCGCCTCTTCCCCAACCTATTCTTTCGCGACTCGCCCTTCATCGCGCGCTTACAGATCTTGACAGCGTATGATCATTGCATACTACATGTATAACGCACATCGTCGTTGCCCCACCCAGTCCCTCGATTGTTCGGAACGTGCTGCATGTGCCCAGATGCTGCAGCAGGCCGAGGTAGAGCGGTGAGGACGTTTGGACTTCCCTGGGCTACGTGCGAGGAGGAGGAGGAGGAGAAGGAGGAGGAGGAGGAGCTGGAGGAGGAGGAGGACAAGGAGGAGGAGGAGGAGGAGGAGGAGGAGGAGGGAGGAGAGGAGAGGAGGAGGAGGAGGAGGAGAGGAGGAGGTGGAGAAGGAGGAGGAGAGAAGAGGAGGAGGACGAGGAGGAAGAGGAGGAGGAGGAGGAGGAGGACGAGGAAGGAGGAGGAGGAGGAGGAGGAGGAGGAGGGAGGAGGAGGAGGAGGAGGAGGAGGAGGAGGAGGAGGAGGAGGGAGGGAGGAGGAGGAGGAGGAGGAGGAGCTGGAGGAGCTGGAGGAGCTGGAGGAGCTGGAGGAGCGAGGAGGAGGAGGAGGAGGGGAGCTGGAGGAGGAGGAGGAGGAGGAGGAGGAGGAGGAGGAGGAGGAGGAGCTGGAGGAGGAGGAGGAGGAGGAGGAGGAGGAGGAGGAGGAGGAGGAGAGCTGGAGGAGGAGGAGGAGGAGGAGGAGGAGGAGGAGGAGGAGGGGGAGGAGGGGGAGGAGGAGGAGGAGGAGGAGGAGGAGGAGGAGGAGGAGGGAGGAGGAGGAGGAGGAGGGGGAGGAGAAGGAGGAGGAGGAGGAGGAGGAGGGGGAGGAGGAGGAGGAACATATTGTCGGCGTCTCCCCGGCGTACTGATACCATTCCACGCGCGTCGCCCCCAACGAGGCGCGGCGCGCGCTCAGCGGCATCTCGTGGCACACGTCTGGTGGCGGGCGCCGTCGGGCCATGCCAGACCGCGTTGGGTAACGATCTGTTACGAGATGTTTGTCCAGCAGTGGCGAATCGCCCCGGCTCGCCTATAGTCCCACCAAACAGTGTTCTAAGAACTTCTTGTGGTTCCCACGAAGTGTTCTTCGAACGTATCTGGCTAGGACTTGTTTGTTTCAGCGCATCGGGCTAATGTTCTAAGAACACTGTTTTCGTTCTTACAACATTTTTGGGTTCCGAGAACATGTCGTGTATGACTATAGGAATGCCGGGACGGTCGGTCCTTGCTCGAGTTTGTGCCAGATCTTCGCTTCGGACGTGCGCATCCAACGGGGCGCACCGCACCAGCACGCCCTGCTGCGTCCCAAGATGTCGCACCGGGGGAGGCCCAGGGCCTGCCTCTCGGGGCCCGGGTCCTTGCGTCCGCGCCCTCGGGCCGGGAGGGCGCGTGCAAAGTCGGGGGCGGAAAAGAGGGGGGTGATGACTAGGGGGGGTGGATATCATGGCGGGGGCCATGATATTTCCCCAGATTTCATGGCGCCTCTTTTTATTTCATTACGTCCCAGGCCCCCCCCGCTGGGCCGCGCACATGCCGCCGGTCATGATTTGCACACCCCCCTCTTGGACACCCCCTTCTTGGCCGCTCCCGACAAAGGAGATCCTGGGCCCGGCACGCGGCGGGCGAGGGGTGGATGTGAGAAGGAGATGATGAGGTTCCAACCTACTTTCTAGCTTTGAGTACGAGAAAGAATTTCGAGCACCGAGAGAGTACCGAAACTCGAGGGTTTTCACGTGTCGGGCCCTGGGAGACACTCGCCTGATGCCGTGTCGACACTCTTTCGACACTCTTTCGACACTTTTCTGGTTGCTCGAAATTATTTCTGAGATGCGTTCTTAAGTACGATGGGAACAACATGAGAAGGAGAAGGCCTTCTGCGAAGGCTGCGGGATTTTTCAGAAGTCCTCGCGCCTTCTGAGAAGTTGTTCCTGTCTTCGAGGAAGGCCTAGGAAACCTCTCGGAAGGCTGGGGGACTTGTCGAGCCTTCTGAGATGGCCCGTCCCTTCGCACTTCCCCCCCCCCCTCGCTCGCCGCCAGAAGTCTTCGGGCCCACCCTTCCCCCCCCTGTCTGTTGCGCCCCCTCCTTACAGGGGACGTGCGGGGTCTGCCGGTGCCCCGTCGCCATCTGGGTGGCCTTCCGCCCGTGGGGCCCTTAGATGTTCTTAAACAGATGTCTTGGAATAGCGCGGGGGGCGTCCTTCGGCTTGCTCTCGAGATCGACGCGCCCGTTCTGCTTGGGTAGCAGCTTTCTCTGTGTTGTGCTGATGTTCGTGCCGCCGCTTGTCTCGAGTTCTAGGCAGGTGTTGTTAGTAACTCGGGTTCCGTGAAGGTGCTCCTTTCTGTTTTGAGGCCTACACCCAGCTTGTGCCTTGCCGCTCCGTTTTGGATACCTTTCTTCCATGCGTTATCGTTTCGTTTGCAGCTAGCCCTCGTTTGAGCCGTTTCGGCAATTCATCCGTCCCTGTTTTGGGGTGTTCTGCTCCTGTTTGGCTCGCGCGCGCGCGTGCTCCTTGTGTGGGTCCTCGTTTTGACTCGAGCAGTGGGGGGCAACCCCCTTCTTCTCCTCCTCCCGCCCTCTGTCCCCTCTCGCCTCTCGCCTGCCTGCACCTGCCTGCTTGCATCCCTCTTGGGCGCCGCGAAATGCGAAACTG